TGAGGTCACCGATTTCAATGAAACTTTCTTTGGCTCTACTAAACCAAAAATATTAGACACTTACTCGAGCTTTATTGCTAATGGCTCCTAGGAGCCATAGAAAAAAATTAAGTAACTTAAATATAGTTTTCTGCCTTCGTGGTGCGTCTACTTCAACATATTTAAAGTTACTCCATGGAAGGTTTTTTTTTTGCGGGGGAACGATTATCAACAATTATTATTTTATATAAATAAAATAATCTGAACATGAAGTTGATATTCTTTTTTAATTAAAACCCTGATTATAATTTTTAGTCAAAATTTTTAAAAAGTGCTTACAAAATTGTCGCTCTCCCAATGCCTTCGAATTTCCTCGAAAATCACTTTATTTACATTCACACTTTCAAACGACTTCACCAATCTACAGGAATTTTTACTATGATTTAGAAACTTATAAACTATACGAAATGGTATAAATCTGGCCTCCGTAAATAAATTATAAACAAAGATAAAATAACATAGCGTTTGAGTCGATTTTATTGATTTCAGCCTTATTTTTTTCACTTAAAATGGTCAAAATGTAAACATTGTTGACATAGCCTAAAAGAATAAATATTCTGTTTTCGAACGACTGCAATAACGTTGAATTTGGATAAAATTCAAAGGAGTTATGAATTTTTAAGTAGAACATCTGAGACAAAAGAAAATTACTCGAGGATTTTTTTTCATCAATGGAAATTATTATTTAATGGTTTTACAGGTTGCTTAAAACCTATTCGATGTGTTTTTGGTTTGTTTTGCCTTCTTTATTCGCAGCGTCTTTTGGGTTTTTGAACTTTGTATATATGTCATCTCATTTAGTACGATCCTCCATATTACTTTCTTATTCTAGAAATACATGTACAAGGAAGGCAGAAAACCATATTTTAAAAAATGAACTTAAATTAATTAAATATTTTTTGTCTTGGCGACTAAGCCTTTTGGCAAGAACGCTCGTACGCTTGTCTAATTACTTTTCTTCCTAGTATAATCAAAGTTTCTTTTATTCGGTAATCTCGTAGCCCTCTCTTGCGAGGTTTTGAATTCGCTTTGTTAGTCAAGAGTGTGGCTGAAAAGCGAGGTCTTGCAACAATCCATGAGCATCTAGAAACAGAAAAAGTGAATAGAACAGCACAACACGAAAAAGAAGAGAAAGAAATGAGAAAAGAAAGAGAGAAAAATATAGAAAAGCGCACAGACAAAGACAAACTGTCTTATGATAAAAATAAATTTGTCATTTGTCGCCGAGAATCAAAAAGATTACACGACATTTGAAAAATGGCAAAAAGGAGGGAAAATTCAAAAAGTGGGGTTGAGATGGGAAATTAGTGTCGAAGTCACGATAGCTCAAGTGGTAAAGCAGGGCGTATTTAGCCGAAGGTCGTGGGTTCGAATCCCGTGACGCTGACTTTTTTTATCTCAACTAAAAACCTTAATTAATTGAAAGATATTAATTGGTCAAGCGGACCACGAAAACTAGTGAATAAGAAATAAAAATGAAGAATAGTTGTATTGTTGCACGTAAAAAAGAGTTTCTCTTACATGTAAGAAAAAAATAAGAAGATTAAGAAAAATAAAAAGAGATGTGTGTGTCTGTGTACATGTGTTACCAGCGAAAATAAGCATGACAAAATTAGAAAAACTGGCCATCCAAGACACAAATCAAAACTTTTTAACATTTCAAATAGGTATCAGTGTATTTATTTACAAACCAACCTTTTTTTGAAATCATATAGAACGATAATCAAAGCGAGAAAAGCGTGTACAGATGTGACCAGCTTTCGACTGGTCGAGAATGGACGGTCGGTAGAATAATCGTTTATTTTAATTTATTGATAAATTAGTACCGGCCCTCGTGGAAGGGGGTGATTGAAAGGGGCTTCGCCACAAATCTGTTTCTGACAAGTGGAAAATCATGAATGTTCGCCGAACACGTCCCATGTGTGCGATTTTCTGTTTGGGATCGCTCTTTACTCTCGGCCGCATAATGATCCGTTTAACACAATAAATAGGTAGCTTAAACCATTATAACTGAATTTATAAATTAAATTATTATAACATTCGGCATTATCTTGCTTTTAGTGTAACATCTTTTAATTGATATGCCCGTCCCATTGATCGAAAGCACAAGAAATAAAACAATAAAGCTATAAGTCGATAAATCAAATCAATCAATCGCAAGGCATTAGAACAAAAATTATGTATTTTTTATATAGAAATCAATATAGTTTGATCAGTAAAAAACATCGGGGTAACTACGTCCGCTGAGAATCGGACGCGTTTTGTCCTCAACGTGATTTATTTTGAAATAACGTACCTCAGGGTTGATAGTAAACCCTGACCTACCCTTGTCACAACTTTATTTTCTAAAAGAAAGGTCGACAAACACCACACCGGAAAAATAGACTGCCAAAAAATGTGGCGTCGAGCCAAAAACGGATCTTGACTTACTGGACCAACAGGGAGAATGGGCTGTTCTGAGATGATCGATATTGAACTACTACAAACAAATAGTGATGTATACATTTGACGGCGCCGAACGTGAAATGCTTAAATTCTTACATCTAATAAAACCCGGATTTACTGAAACTTGCATAAGTTAAACAATTTAGAACCAAATCGTTTCACAGTTTGTGTTTATTTTTGTTTTTTCAACTTGTCTTTGTCTTTGAGATATTCATTCAATAAGCCACATTTCATGTAACCTACAGAAATTGTATTCATCCTAATTTCAAAGAGAAAGTCTTAAGCTTACAACCAAAGACACAAATTGCAAACATTCTTTGGATTTGACAAGTAATTTAGGTTCAAAGCCGTCAGTTTGACAGCCGAAACGTTAATCAATAGCTGAAATGATAAAAGAGATCTAGAGATAAATAGGATCTAGATCGACTTTACAAAGGAAATCAGTGAAACTCAAGTTCTGATAAATAATTGCAACCCGATTAACTATTCAATCTCCAAAAATGCAATCCATATTGAAACACTATGTTTAATTAATTATCATTAAATACAAAAAATGTAAAATTGTGCAATGAATGAATGAAATGTAAATAAAATAAAAATAAGTAATGAGAGGTTGAAAGAGGGACACTTACTTACTAAAGCCTGAATACGTAGAGAAAGGTTGCTCGATTTGTCCCACATAACTGAAGCGTGCCATTCCTTGGCTCTGTATAGAGAGCATGTAGGATTACCAACGGATATGAGAAATCTAGTTGACCAGGCAGCAAGTACTTGGGCCCCCTTTGGGTTCATACAGCGACCATTATTGTCCCTTTAACGCATAAGAGATGAAAGTGTGGGTAAGACTGCGGTTTTGGCTGTACAGGGTCAGGGTCTCTCTCTCTCTCTCTCTCTCTCTCTCTCTCTCTCTCTCTCTCTCTCTCTCTCTCTCTCCCTCTTTCTTTCTTTCTTTCTCTCTCTCTCTTTCACACACTCTCCCCTCTCTCTCTTTCTCTCTCCTTCTCTCTCTCTTTTTCCCTCTCTCCTATCTCTCTCTCTCTCTCTCCCCTCTCTCTCTTTCTCTCTCCTTTTCTCTCTCTTTTTCCCTCCATCCTCTCTCTCTCTCTCTCTCTCTCTCTCTCTCTCTCTCTCTCTCTCCCTCTTTCTCCCTCACACTCTTTCTCCCTCACCCTCTCCCTCTCTCTCTTTCTCCCTCTCCCTCACCCTCTTTCTCTCTCCCTCTCACAATCAATAAAGGGAAGACACTTCTTGAGGTATTGGCCCAATACTAAATTGGCCTACTGTTCTCAAGATCTGTTTGTATATACATAACTTTTTCTCCTCTCTTTTTATACTCTCTTAGTATTTCTTCATTTTCAACCCTAGTCACCCCCCCCCAAAAAAATGGGGAGGTACACAACATATATTAATGTATATACATGAAAAAATAAATTAATAAACAACAGACGATGTGGCGTATTGACCTCAATAATTATAAAAAACCTCAACTCAATTCCTTATTAAGCACCCCTAATAATTGCCGGATGATCATCAAATAGCTGCTAAAACTGTAATGATGACACTGAAGATCAGAAATTATCATAATAGGTTGATAAACTAAAAATTCTCAAATGATAATAAATGTAATATTCTCAGCTCAGATGGACTAATAGTCAATTGTGATATTTCAAAAAAATATGATTCAACAAAATATTAAAAGCAGCAATTATAATATTAATAGTTATTAGCCAAAGTTTACTGGTACATTGTGAAATTAAAAATTTACAAAAACTTGTTTTTGTTGTATTGTCAAAAAATTAAATAAAAATAATGTTTTCATTTTTTTATCATAGCATTGTTCCTTAAAATTCCTTGTAATTATCTTTGAAAAACAGGCAAAATAGTATTCAAAGTTAAGAAAAAACATGGAAATACTGCAAAAACAATTTAAGTACATTTTTGGGAGGCACTGGATGTGTAAAGTAAGACACTGTATAACATTAATGGTTGGAATTATTGACTTGGAAGTCCAGAATGAAGAAACTAAAGAAACTATTTCATTTATCACATTAAAATAGCAGAAATTTACTACATTCTATAAGTTCAAAAGTTTACAACTTGGCCCTCTGGTTAGAATTAGGATTTCACCGTTTGCTAGCCGCTGACTAAGTGCATAGCCAACAATTTTGAAGTAGCAAAATGTTTTATCATAAATGAAATATGACTGTGGTCATGCCAGTCAATTTTGAACATACCCTTCAATTGTGCAGAGATTTTGAATATAAATTTAAAACGCTAGTATGAAATTCAAATCACCTTGAATATACCTATGTATTTAACATTTTAGACTTTTCATAAGCACATAATATCAAATAGAACATTAAAATTTCTATGTTTATGATTATATTTTATGAATTATAACTAAAATTTTAATTAAGTAAAGAATTTGTATTATCTTGGGTTTAGTCAGCAACTAAACAAATCAATAATTAATAAACAATTTGTGCTTATCGTTTTTTTTTTTTTTTTTGTTCCAGATGCTCCAGAAGTCACAGCTGATGAAGCGTGGGTCCATTCAGGAATCGGAAATCAAGCCGTCCTTTCATGCACTGTGTATGCGGAACCAGAAGCAGAGGTATTAATTAATTACAATACATTGTATATTTATTTACAGAAATTATACATAACTTCTTATTTTGAAGAAAAGCAAAGTAAGTGGATAATTGCTCATCTTATTCGTTGTATTTATTGTATATTTTTCTCCTTAGTATGATATATTCAGTATTGTATTATTCCATGAATTCTTTAAATGTTGTATAAATAAAACTATTTTATAAATTAACTTTCGTTTAGGTCCGTTGGTACAGGTCATCTCTTAAATTGGACGTTACAGATGATCATGTTACCGAAACCAGCTCGAACAGGCATCGATTGATCATAAGACAAGTCCAACTTCAGGACTTGGACAATTACACATGTGAAGCTCAAAACAATTTTGGAAAAGCCAAGCAATACATTGTGCTTTCTGGTAAATACAATTTCAGTATGTTTTACATTGAGAATTTTTTATTTTGATTATTTGCCTCTAGGTAAACCACAAGTAGCTGTGTTTCGAAGTAACCCGGCATCAAGGTGGCGCGACAGTTATAATATATCATGGACAGTGTTCAGCTACACACCTCTAGAAGAGCACAAATTATTTTTTAGACGGAAACAATTTACAGGACAGATACCGAACTCGCTCAAGTCAGAAGTTTGGGTGATTATCTCTCATTTAAATATTTATTTTTTTTTTAATTACTTGCTAAAATTTATGTTATTTCAGGGTGGTAATTTAACATTTTGGTATCTGAGGGAATGGACAGATGTTACACTACCCTCAACACCAGGAAATGACATAACGCAACAAATGTCATATTTAATAAGAGGCCTCGAACCTGAAATGTTGTATGAGGCAAAAGTACAAGCCCGAAATACATTTGGATGGAATCAAATGTCAGATGTATTTACATTCCATACGGCAAACAAAGGTAATAGTTTAATGTTTGTCATAAATTTAGTCAACTATTAATACTACTATTTATAAATTTGTAGATAGCTACTCATGGGAACCATCACAGGACATTTTCCATTCACCAGGTATATCTTATTTAAATGATTGCAACTTCATCATTATAATTTTTTTTTTTTTAATTGAAGAAACAGAAATACGGGACCTTGGAGTGACTGCACTAGGAGAGGCGCATTTAGATTATGAACCTTCGCTACTTCTCCTAGTGATTTTGATGTTCCACTTTAGTCTGTAGTGGTACAAAATGAATATTTAAATTTAAAAAAAAAAAAAAAGGATGTTTGGAAAAATAAAGACCCTTAGAATTCTACCGACTGTCAACCTTCTCCTTCTTTTGATTCGAAAGAGAAAAAACAAACAATAAACTCTATTTATGTACTTACGTCCTAAAACTTGAAAATAAAATTAAAAACTCCACTTGTAAATAACTGATCTTTAATGCTTTTTCATTTAAGCAATTGTGTAAATGCAGGGTTCAAAACAATATTTAATTAGACATTTAAATAAAGATCGTTGAAAAAGAAAAAGGTAAGTATAACTTGTAAATAAATGTGGTTTAAAATTTTTCTAAAAACTTGTATCTTTAGAATACCTGCAAGTCAATTTTACTTTTGTAATGATTTAAGTTTTTTAATTTTTTTTTTTTTTTTTTTTAATCCTCCGGTACATCACAATAGCTGTTTATCGAAAAAAGCTTAATTTATGAAATTGAAAATATGATACATGTGTATATTGATGTAAATAAAAAGAACAAATTAATAATAAATTCAAAACGACTTAAATATCATATTTTAAGATTGTAACTAATTTTTATAAAATCAATTTTCCATTGAAATACAACGGGAGAACTTCAGTACCTTGTTAATTGCGTTGCTATCTGTAAAAATGTATGCTTGTTAATTGAAAATTGAAATTTTTATTTGTTTATAGTGTCGTATATTATTGACAGTGCCCTCACAATGGAATCTTATTAAAAAAAGTAGTCAAAAATAATTGTTATGTGTTTCTATGTTTTAATAATTTATGTTGTTCAAAAGTTAAAAAAAATATAAAGAAGTACTTTGTTATGTTGTGTTTAAATTTTAAATAATTGAGGTAATTTAGCTAAAAATTTGTACAATGTGGTTCTTATTAACAAAGTAGTAAGTAGTTATTTTGTTCAAGATGGATATAAAAAAACTAAAATAACTTTTTACTACTTCACAATTGTATATTTATATATATTTTGTTTAAACTAATAGTTAAACATTTGTGTTTTTTGACAAATGAAATATTTTATGCTCTTGCATGTACAATTTTATTTGTGACTAAGAATCATAATATTTTACACAAAAAATGTACTAATTGTGATGTAATACTAAGGATGTATATCTTCAAAATTTCTGAATTTACGTGCAAGCAGATTTGTGTACTAATATTAAAAATTAATTTAAAACATAATTTCAAAATCTTTTCATTCCTTATTATCCTTTTTTTTAAGCAAAAACTATGAACAATTTTATGTCATACCTAATTACCTATCTAGCCAGATAGCTTTCAATCGAATAACAAAAATAGTCTTATGAGATGGCTTACTTTCACTTTGACATAAAGTAAATGACAATTTCCCTCTGACCTCAATAGGAATTTTAGTACCTTAAGTCTAATAGGGATAATTAGGCGATTCATCTTAAAAGCCGAAGAATGACACAACGAAGTTAGTTCAAGTTCAGTACTCACGGCTGACAGTTGTGCGGAGTGAAGATGTCACCATATTTATTACTTTTTGCCCTGTGTGTCCTTCTACTCAATGGAATTTGTGCAGAGGATAAAGTAGACGAGTAAGTTTTTGTTCAAACATACATAAGATCTCTCTGGTAGTATATTACATTTAAAAATTGTTATTTCAGTGCTGAAGTTGACAAATCGATCATTCCCACTGGGCCTGCTTATATCAACAATGAAAAGAGAACTCTGTTTGCCATGTCAGTAATGGGCTGGATGTCTTACATATTTAAAAACGTTTATAAACCGGTCAGACGCGTTTACGTTAAATTCCAGCCAGAGATAGTATTTGTTAAGTGTCTTTTAAATCCTCGTATGAGACTCGAACAGTTCAAGCAGGAAATTTTCAAAGGCAATAGGAACAACTTATTTTCTGATGCCCAGCAGAACTATGAAGATTATTATATGAGGGAAACGCCAAGTAATAGCTACACGTATAACACTAATTATCCAATGACTAGTGATTACAACGCGGGCATGTCGAGGCTCATTACATCAGCATACAACACATGGATTGAAATGGCAGATAAACTCAAAAAAAGAGAAGGAATGTGGTGTATCATAGATTACTGTAAAAGAAGATTTTTTAGATGGCTGGACGAATAGAATTAATTGTAATTTTTTTTCTTTATAAATAATTCAATATATATTTAAAACAAATAGTTTAATAACTTTCATTACCCTTTTTAAAACTACAGGCACAAATAAAAATGTTCAATGTGTACATTCAGCAAGTAATACCGAAATATTTACAAATTCAATGCTCACAATGTTGATTAACAAGAATACTTCAGCAGGGTTTAATAACATTGTTGTTTCTACTGTGAAAATTGGTTTTTTGAAATATAAATTAATAAATATAAAAGCCAAGAAAAATATTTTAATTTGAAATTCTCGTAAACAGATAAGTATTTTCCAGTGTGAATAAGGCCAAAGAAAATACAGAAATATACATAGTTTACAGACAAGAATAAAATAAAAGACAGTTTAAAAGAAAATATAAAATTTTTGAAGACAATGACAGAAAATCAAACTTCAACAATGCAGCCAAGAACCCAGCCGATAATTGGGCTTTATTCCCTCCGTTTTGACAGGACTTTACAGACAAATATGAAACTACTGAACTATGAAAATGTGCATACATAATCAAAAACTTGGAAATAAGCGAACATAAGACATTTAACACTAGAAAATTCATAAGTGCACAAATTAACAAGCATTCACATACATCTTTACACCTTTAAAAAGAAAAAGACTCAGACTTAATCCATAAAAGGCACCACAGTCTTACCAAAGCACTTATACAGTCATACGACCCCATATGAGGAAAAAAACCTGTGGCCAGAAATGAAGAAAATATTATTTTTTTTACTATTTGAATATCACACAACTAGCCAATGTGGAGAGACTTAAGAACAAAACGTTTTAGAAATTCACTGTTCTCTTATGTACCGATTTTCGTCAGTCAATGCTCATTAATATTCGGAATATTGAACAAGGATTAGAGAATCTACAAAATTCGCCTTCAACACAACCACAGATCACTGTTGACGATGAGCCTAATACAGTCAATAGTAGTATCTTAACCATCAGCCAACAGAAAAAGGTGTTATTTAGGTCTGTCTTTAGGTTAAAATTAAGTGAATCCAGAATGCAACCTTTGACAAATAAAGAACATCTAGAAACATATTCCCGAGTAGAAGTGGAAAAAGAATTGATTATTCCTCAAGAAACAAAAACTAAAACAATACAGTATCAAAAAAGTAGCTTAAAAAAACTGAACTGGCTTCACAGGAATCATAGACATTGAAGATGACAATTTCAGGTTCATCACCTCACTGACAATATGAAAAATCTCACAACAAATAAAAGAGTTACATATGTACGTTCTATTTGTGCCAAAAAATTTTACAGTGTGTATATGTCCAAAGCTATACGGTTATATTACATTAAAGAATTTTCAAAAATTATGTAGTTTCCATTGAAAGCAAACTAGCACCCTTCGCTGTTTGTTCATTGTGAAAATTTGTCAATATTTTCATTTTGTTTACTAAAACAGAAGAATTAACAGATTCGGATATCACCAATTGTGAATTTATTTGTGGGCTAAAATGCTAAATTTTAAATCTCAGAATGATTTTGAGTTGGTGTTGTCCCACAAACACTTATCATTCTTATAATTTTCTTTCGTTTTTACCAATTATCAATTAAATTATAAAACCCACAAAATTGTAAAATTTATACGTTGAAAGGGGAAAAATTTAATACCCACCACGTTGTGGTAAAATAAGACAATAATTTAATTAAATTTTTAATTTTAATAAATCACATAGGTTTAGAAAAGAAAACAATCACATATTGTACAGAAAAGTTTCAAATATTTACAAAAGGGGAATGTAAAAATTATTGACAAGATATCAAAAACAAAACGTTATATTATTGCAGGCAAATTTCAGTCCACTTCGGAAATATTTACACATTTATAACCTTTGGGCGAAATTTCTTCAACCCACTGCGGATCAACTGGAGTTACATACCGCATGTAGCACTTATTGGTTTGAACCAATTCAGTAAAAAGGATGAGTTGTGGGTACGTCCCCGACAGTACAGATGAGGGATGAATGCTGACAATCTGTCTTTTACCAACCTAAAGAGTAAATTGCATTATATATAGTATGCACTTTAAAAAAAAAATCCAAGAAATCTTACAGTAACATATTTTCTATCTCGCTGCAACTCGGCAAGGTTCATGAAAAAACCAGATATAAAACATTTTTTAACTCTATCGACGTCTTCACCACATGTTGTCAATTGCATATTGCATTTTTGACAAATATCGGCTAGCTGTTTCCTCACTTTAGATGCATATTCTAAATTTCTACTGATTAAAAAGTTTTCATAACACCAAGCCTAAAGAATAACAAATAAAAATCAATAATAAAAAAATAAACACCATATTGTCTTTTGTAAAAGAAACTTACGTGTTTACTCGAAACGGAATTATACGCCCTGAAAACATTAAGGAGTGTAATAAGATCACCCGAGGAAGATGAAAACTTAGCTCTTGCGGCTGCCGCTTCTTCTCTCTTTGCCACATTATTCACAAATATCGTCTCTCCAGAAAGAATTGCTATAATCGTAAGTACTTCCTCTCTGTAAATAATCCATAGTTTGAGTAAAAAACAATTGTTTTAAATAGCCCAACTGTCTTACATGCAGCCAAATGTTTTTGCAGAAATCAAAATTTTACTGTATCTCGGATCCAAAGGGAAAAGGGACATCTGTTTTCCCAAATCGGTTAAATTTGGATCTTTTACATCGTCGATAGCTTCCAGCAGCTTCAATAGGTCAAGTCCTTCGAATATTAACTAAAAAAATGAATAAAAAATTAGTCGATATTCGATATGAAAAATCAATAAAACTCACTTCTGTCGGAGGTTTGTCGAGGAAGTCGAATTTGAGCAAATTGACTTTGAGAGCCAGTAACTGTAATATAACGCTGGATAGATTACTCCTTAAAATTTCAGGTACTGAATTTGGTAACATTCCATCATACTCCTATAATCATTAACAAAAAATTAATTAATAGATGTAATCACCATTGAAGTACTATTTCAAATGGGATGGGATTTCAGTCAAGGTGTCATTAAGAAAAGTTATTTCTTAAAATGTTTCAAAACTATACGGAAAGTAGACACAATGAGAAAAAAATAACTTACTTTTCAACTCATAGAAAATAATTCATTACAATGAACCAGCTTTTTTTTAGTTAAATATGATAACTGAATTTAAAAACACAATTGGTGAACAATACAAATAATTTTTTTTTTAACTGTTACATTGTTATACATGGTAAGCATACATGGTTGTCTGATAGCAATTAAATTTTATTAAAAATGAAAACTTAGCTGTGGGGTTTGGTTTTTATTGTAATTTTACTTTACTAACCTCTTTAGTATAAATTCGGTAACAGAAGCCCTCTGATTCCCTGCCTGCCCTTCCTGTCCTCTGCCAGGCTTGGGCTTGTGAAATATTCAAAACTTTGAGTATATCAAGCCCTGTGGCTGGATGATGTATTCTAAAACAAAATTCAATTCAAAATTAAAACAGAATGGCAAAAAAAAATTTTTTTTAATAAATATTTAATTTACTTCTGTTTGACCATCCCGCTATCTATGACATATTTGATGCCGCTTATTGTTACTGACGTCTCGGCTATGTTTGTACTGAGTATTATTTTCCTCGTATTGGGATTGCAAGGCTGGAAAATCTCCATCTGTTTGTTGCTGCACAATGCCGCGTACAGTGGGAATACTCTTATATTCGGTCCAACACACAATTCATCCTTTAAAAAAAAAAATTAAATAGTGGTATTTTATTTTTTAAATACAATTGGGTTTACTTTTTGTATTGCTCGTATATTGGCAGTCATTGATTCTATTTCCTCTTGGCCAGTTAGAAACACTAAAATATCATGACTGAAAAAGAACAAAACAATAATAATAAATTATGATTTTTAAAACATAAATGAACAAATAATACAAACTTTGGAGGTGCTTCTTTGTGTATTTGGAATATAGTGACAAGGGAGGAAAAAATGTAATCATCCTGAGGTTCGATGGCGTGGTTGATTTCAACTGGGTATTGCCTGCCCTCCAGATAGACGGCTGGAGCATTATCGAAATACTGACAGAAATGGTCGACATCCATTGTCGCAGACATAACGATGACCTGAAAATAATGAAAAATGTTTATTCACATTTGAAATATGGTCTGGTTTCAACTTACCTTCAACGGCCTTAAGCCCAATTTGGCAGCCCTTTGCTTTTGTGCCGCTTTTACAATGCCAAATAAAACATCGGTGTGTATCGTACGTTCATGAGCTTCATCAAGAATTATTACGTTATAGGCAAGAAGATATTCATCTAAAAATTTAATTAAATTGAACAATATTGTTTTTTTACATTTAATATGAATTAGGTTAATAACCTAAAAGAGCTTCTCGTAACAGCATGCCATCTGTCATGTATTTAATTTTCGTCATATCCGATGTGTTGTCCTCAAATCTTACACAGTACCCGACTATCTGTCCTATACTGGTTTTTGCCTCTAAAGCCACTCGATTGGCAACTGTGATTGCAGCAACTCTTCTAGGCTTTAAAAAAATCTTGTTGATAAAATTGTTTTAATTATACGATTAAAACGAAAAACCAGCTTAAAAACCTGAGTTATTGCAATTTTTCTATCACCTTCCATGCGCAATTCATGGATGTATTGGGGAATTTGTGTCGTTTTACCGCTCCCTGTCTCACCGATTAATATCAAAGTTGAGTTTTTATCCAGCTCAGATAAAAGCCTAGAAAACAACAAACAGTATTAAATAAAAATATCAAGTAAAATAACTTCATTACATGCTAAATGTGAAGGTATATTAAGCGGGTCTGACAGACCAAAACGGCATGAATAAGCCAAAATGATCAAAAACAACCAAAATACAGGTTCATCGCCTCAGTAGGAAATCTCACAACAATTGTAGTTGAAGTAAATGGTAAAATGCTAAAATTTGGCTTATAAATAATATACAATTTATACAGGAAGATCAAGGATTATCAAGATGCAAGTCATCAGTAAGTAATATGTATTTTCCTTTCTTATGGGCTGGCAAACAACGCAAATTTTATTTCAAAACAGTCACGAATATCTTCTATACTCTGTGATATGTATTTGTAAATATTACCTAGCTTGCCATCCTCTAGTTGATTCTCAGCTTGTTTATATAAACTGACTCAGTAGTATACCAGTTTTCGCCTTGTCTTCACCAACAAAGACCACCGAGGGTGTGACATGTACCGGCTATAGTAAATCTACATACATTTCATGGTCATTCCTGCCAGGCTTCTTGAGAGCATTATTTCAGTCTGATAAGGGCTTCATCAACCCTCTTGTCAGGCTCTTGTTAAAGAGATATTCTGAAATGGAGCGCCTCAGCAAAGCAATTGCTTTTGTGTGGACCCCTGACACATAAGTCTGGATGGTAATGAAATGCACATGAAACGGCTGGCCGGAATGTCCCAACATCTGATCGGAATGTCCCCTGCTTATCACAATCCAGCCTTAAGATGCAAAATAAAAAATATGAACCAAAGGAAATGGCAACATCGGGGATCTGACTGGCAGAGAAATTCCTACGGTCGAAGAGTAGGACAATACATTTCCGTAGAGGATCAGAACCATAGAAGAGGAGTCATCCTCCTCTGATTAAGAATATGCCAGGTGAGGTTGACACTCAGATACTTATTTTTGGGTCAAGCCACATATATAGAGGTCCCACTTAAATGAAGGGTGTTATTCCTGCTTCAGTATGGCAACAAGTATTTGTGTCCCCTGTACCAATTTTTGGAGGAAACAGGACAAAGTTGAGAAATTACCGCCAAAATGTTAATATCTCAGGAAAGAGGCGAGTTAGAAACCTTGTTCTGGTGGCACTGAACTATGTTATTTAGTGAATCCACCGTAGCAGTTTTGACATTTAACCCTGTAAAACTCAGTATACTAATGATAGTTTTGTGTGTTGTGAGAGAGAATGCATTTATTGGCGTGAATTTGTAGTGTGAGAAGGCTGATGGGAGAATACCAAGTACCTAGTGACCTTTAATTGGTTTAGTTATATATAAGCATAAAGGGTAATTGAGGAATATCATGTTCTTCCCAGGCGAGTGAATGGGATTGGTTGAAGGAACCGACTGCATTGGGTGTTGAACTGACCTAGCTGTTTTCAGCACCCAGAGCCCAATCTCGGCGACTGGTCGGATAAGACCAAAGTCTGATCTAGATTGCCAACACCCGAGTTGGATGATTCTCGATGCTGCCGGTAATGTATTGTAAGTTGGCATTGCCAGTGGACTGTGATAAGTGATAAGCTAAACTCTGTATAAACGTGTACGTACATGTGCAGATTTGATTTTATATAAATCAAGACTAGGCAGAGAAAGAGCATAAATAATGATCAAAATAAAGATAACTGTTGTACAAATTATCGGTAATTAAGAGTTACTATAATCCTTTCAAGAAAATACGCTTTGATTTAGAATAAAATCGACATATGACCCAATAACAATGTATTTGCACCTTTTTCTGACTTTGAATATGGGTAGGGCGGTCCTCTCCTGCTCGATGTTGGCCGATTTGGCTTTGTAGCTGTTCTCGTGACAAAGCTTTTTCGCCTTGTTGACCAAGTTAAAGTTGATCTGAGGTCTTTTCATTCCTGGGCGCGTTTTATCGAAGCCTCCGTACGATATGCTCATCCTGGCGAAGTGATGACAATTAACAAAACATCAACACGACCACGAGACCCGGGATAAAGACATATAACTTGACGTTCTTGTAACAGTGTAGGAGTGCCTTTCTTGAAGGGATAGGCATCGATGGTCGATGTTTAGAAAGCATCGATGGTACTGTGTCAATGTTTTTTGACCAGAGTCGGTGGGCTGTCGATGTTTTATAAACTTAATCTTTTGTCTAAAATTACGACATGTGAAGAAAAATAGGGAATCATGTTCAACAGTTGGAACTGAAGGAAAAAATATATTAATTCCTGAATCCTGATAAATGTAAATAAAATTATTTATACTTTTAATCTAAGGTCTTGTTTTTGATGAAAAAACTAGTTTCATGAGCGAGATTCGAACCCACGACCTTCGGCTGGGTGCCTTTCTATTCGGTTCGAATCCCGCTCGTGACACTTGCTTTTTTATCTCAACCAAGACCTTAGATGAAAAGTATAATTAATTTAAATTAAATATTGACATTGATTATTCAAAAAATGCTCAGACAAATCTTTTATGGAACCAAATTTACTTAATTTTTAAATTAGGGGTTTTACAAGAACACGTGGTTTTAATAAAGTGGTAGAGCAGCGGCGTATCTAGCCGAAGATCGTGGGTTCAAATCCCGCTCGTGACACTGACTTTTTTATCTCAACTAAAAACCTTAATTAATTGAATGATATTAATTGGTCAAGCGGACCACGAAAACTAGTGAATTTAATGAGTTTTTAATAAAGGTTAATTTATTTCACTTTTTCTTTCTACGTTTCGGCTTATTTCTTTTCTGGCTTATTTTTCCTTTTCTGCTCATCATCAGGAAAACCCTAACAAGAAAGTACATTAGTACACATATAGCATAATTAGTACTAATAATTATTAAAAATGTAAATGAAATTAATTAATAATGTATACTAATGTGACTACTTCTTGTTATGGTTTCCTGATGATGGGTAGAATAAGAAAAAAAAGCCCGAATGTTAAAAGGAAAAATGTGAAATAAATTAACCTTTATAAAAAAAAACACGTGATTTTGGACTACCCCTAATTTAAAAATAAGGTACAATATACACACAATAATCTACAGGCGTGAAATCTACTACAAAAATAATAAAACAAATTTACTTTTAAAAAAATCTGGTTTAAAAAGGTTTTACTTTAATTTTCAATCACATTCAACTTAGATTAAAAACAATTAATTAAAATAGTTAATAGATCGATTATGGCTAATAAATGCATATATTGATTAATTTAATGTAAATTTGGTTCCTTTTGAGACTGATTGATATTTTGTAAATTTTAATATTGGAAGGGGGTACAAGATTGTTTTTGGACAATGTAGTGTTTAAAATTATTTCCAATAGAATTTTTGTGAAAACTTTTAATTAGTAAAATTATAATTTAATTCAAAACGAAAAGAAAAATCGAATGGAAAGTAATTTTCATCATTGATTCCAATCCAGTGAAAGCCCCTGCGCCATGTAGCGCTATCAGTGATAAAAGCCCCCCCAATCAGCTGTGTGAATCATTTGTAAACAATAAACGGCCTGGGTGAATTCTTTTGTGTGTTGATTTTAGATTAGACTTTAGAAAGGGTGGGTAACGTCAGTTATGACAATTTTCGACCCTGGTTTTACGTAGAGTTTGACTAGATAAAACCGAAAAAGAACATGAACAGCGAGATTGAAGATGTCTCCGACAAGACCGAGCTTCTGCGAGAAGAAGAGGGTTCGGAGGAGGAAATAGAAGAAAAAAAGCCGGCATGCTCGCCCGATGGTGCCTGCTTCAGGTACCTGGGCCTCGCCTGGATGTGTCTTCTAGGTTTCGGTGAGTGATATTTTAGGTGACACTTGTTGACTTCTGATAAATCAGAAGGTTTGCTGGTGTGTCTTACTAACTATAGTTTTAAACTGATGTAAATGATAAACTGTGACCTGGACAGTGTCTTCTATGATGGGTCCAAGTATGTACACGTGAAGCAATAAGTACCAAAAATCAAAGACATGTCTAGACATGCGTTGAAAGTAATCTTCAATGATACATAGGTGTTATCTCATAGAGTAGGGATCAGACTTGTAAGAGAAAAATTCATATGTACAAAACATATTTAGATGTAGATGTAGATATGGTTCCAGGGTGTAGTATACTGCGCCCTTTAAGAGCTCCCCTGTGCTCTGCCTAAAGCACTTTGGTGAGTCCTATTTCATCAAGAAACTTGATTCACAGGCCCGGTTTCAATGGTTGAAGCTCTTCTATGGTCATATTATACATCCCAAAACATATTTAACTATTTTTTAATGTTTTAATTGACATTGAAAGCCATCTATAATGTTACATGGATGATCTAGGTTTGTCCTGAATGTGGCATCAGTTTCAGTGCAATAGTTTTAAGTGGCACAGGTTGAGTTTTAATAAATAAAAAGGTTTGCTGGTGTGACCGATGTTGTCTTATCAACTGTAGTCTTGTGTAACTGATAAACTGTGATTTGATCACTGTCTTTCATGATGGGTCCAAATAATTAAATGGCATGGAATTTTTTAGGAAGCAACAATTACGCAAGCCAGACAAGGCATATATTTTGTGTCTAGACATGCATTGAAAACCATCTTCAATGATACAAAAATATCGTCATACTAACAGCTATAGAGTAGGATCAGACCATGATAAGAGTTCATACGTACAAAACACTTTTAACTGTTTTTTTTAATATTTCAATTGACATTGAAAGCCATCGTTAATGACCTAAGTCTGTCCTGAATGTGGCATTGGTTTCAGTGCAATGAATTTTTTGTGACCCTGGTTGATTTCTAATAAATAAAAGGTTTGCTGGTGTCACCAACATTGTCTTATCAACATTTACAACTGATAAACTGTCACTCTTCCAATATTATTAATTCTTCTTGGGTCCAAATAATTATCGGGTTGTCCGGAAAATAATGCAGGATTTTAAGTTTTCATTAAAAAAAAATCTATATAAAATATTCTGTTTACGTTTACAGGATTACTCATTTGTATGAATGTCAACACTTATTAATCCTCTTCCAAATGATATTGTTTGTTTACCTCTGTAGTCATCCTTATAATGTCAAAGCGAGAATTTCGTACGATTTTCTTTTACGAGTTTAAACTCGGCCGAAGCGGAGCCCAAACGGCTAGAAACATTAACCAAGTCTGGGGCGAGGGTTGTGTTAATGAGTGCACTGTGCAAAGGTGGTTTAAAAAATTTCGGGAGGGAGATTTCAGCCTTGAAGATGAAGAAGGTCGTGGAAGGCCTTCCTCTCTTAATGATGATGTTCTGCGATCAGTGGTGGAAGAAAACCCCAAAACAACTGTTCGAGAACTTGCAGAGCAACTCAAAGTCAGTAAAACGACCGTCGCTGACCACCTCAAGGCGATTGGAAAAGTGAAAAAACTCGAAAATTGGGTTCCACACTCATTAAACGATCGCCAAAAAATCAGCGCTTTGATGTTTGTGCATCACTTCTTTGTCCAAACAAAAATGACCCATTTCTGGCCAGAATTGTTACATGTGACGAAAAGTGGATTCTCTACGATAACACTAGACGTTCTGGACAGTGGCTCGACAAAGGAGAAGCTCCAAAGCCCCCAACTCATCAAAAAAAGGTAATGGTTACGGTATGGTGGGCTTCATTTGGTTTAATACACTACAGCTTCTTAAATCCTGGCGAAACCATCAATGCTGAATCATACTGTAACCAAATTAATACCATGCATCAGAAATTGGCAGTAATGAAGCCCTCTTTGGTCAATCGGAAAGGGCCCATTTTGTTGCATGACAACGCTCGACCACATGTGTCACGTGTAACGTCACAAAAATTATTGGAGCTTGGCTATGAAACTTTGCCTCACCCACCCTACTCTCCGGACCTCTCGCCTACTGACTACCATTTTTTTAGACACCTGGACCACTACTTACAACACATAATATTCAAAAATCAAACGGAACTGGAAAATGCATTTATTGACTTTATCAATTCTAAAAATTCTGAATTCTACTCAGACGGAATTAATAAGTTACCAACACGTTGGGAGAAATGTATTGAGAGTATGGGAAATTATTTTGATTAAAGAACATTGCTTTAAAGTAACTAGTTTCTTTTTTTTTGTTTAATACCAAAATCCTGCATTATTTTCCGGACAACCCAATAAATGGCATAGAATTTTTGGGGGGGGCAACAAGGCATATATTTTATGTCTAGACATGCATTGAAAACCATCTTCAATGAAGTAAAAATATTATCATACTAATAGCGCTATCAGATCATACTATAGATCAAACCTATATCAACATTTTAACAGTTTTTATGTATTTCACACATTGTACATTATATGGATGACCTAGGCCTGCCTGGATGTGTCATTGGTTTCAGTTTTATAATTCAACTGTATAATTAGTTTTCATTATGTTTACATTATAAACATCAAACAATGTTTTAATTTTCAAACAATGTTGGTGACAATTTTTTCTAACTACATCTAACACATATATTTGCAATCAGAAATATCATAAATTTCCCTTATTTTATTGCCGTTGTTTCTGATATCATGTCAGTTACTATCTCCTACGATATTAAAGTTGCAGTGGGATTCTTCCGATGAAAGAAACTCTCGCTCACAGTTGTTGACATTGTCCCTTCAATTATTGATTAATTTCTAAATTGAGAATCGGAATGGGGGTACATTGATGAAGAAGGGTAATATAATTTTTCCCACAGTCAGACAATGAGCTTTTAACGATTTGGCAAAAATTCTCTTTTATCAATCAGTCTACTAAAACCATTTTAGTATTAATCTAATCGGACAAATTAATGACTCAAGTCATTCCCTCTCAAGTAAATATATTTGAATAAGAAAATATATTTTAAGGCTATTGAAAATCAAATTAAATCGCGAGATATTGTTGATGGCTACTGTGATTCACAAAAGTCAGGCAATGAGTAAGCAGTAAATAATTTGGGGGGAAATCCTTTGTAAAACACAGATTATTGCATAATTTAATTTATTTGTCCATATAAAAAAAAATTTATTTATCTTGCTGTAGTTTATTTAGTAGAAAGTCGTGCCATGATGCAAATATTCATTTAAATAAATTAAGAGCAGATTATTTAATAGGGACAGAACAATGGACGTAATAATTGGTTGACATTATGTTAAAAAGGCATTAAAATGGAAATTATTTCTATTAATTGCTACACAAGTTTTTAAAAAATGTTTGATTAGCTATATTTGGCTGCAGGTTTTACATCCCTGAAACTGAATATCTTTTAAAATTGTCTATACTTATGAATGTGGAAATAATTTTTTTGCACATTTTTCTAGACAAAGTAGTGCTCTGTGTAGGGATTTTGTCTATTTGTAATCATAGAAATTTCCCCTTTTGCACGTTTCGTCGTATTTTGTCTGATCGCTGCTAATGGTTTTCCTGGAATATTTTAATTTCTTTAATATAATACAGACCTCTTCTCAGTGTTATGGCCTCAAGGTCTTCATTGTTCAGAAATAGGTTTCCTGGGTACCATAGACATTTCCTTTCTCTCTATAAAGTGGCATTTTATTAGAGCATTCCTTGTAAATACCTGTTAGGGGTTTTTTTTTCTTTTTTTGTGTATTTAATAGGATTTCCTCTTTCACCCATTGGGTTGAAGTTCGAAGTATTTGTTGTGTTCTTTAGATACCAAACATAATTATATTTTAATGCTGCTATAGTTTATGCCACAAAATGGACATGGGCCTTTTTCCTAGGCTCCATTTTTAGATAGAGCGTCTGCATCAGACTATGGTTTTTTAGGGTAATTAGGAAATGTAAAATAGTTCTGAGTTCTCTAAAGAGCATTAAGTGTTGCTGTTTGGCTATTTGATATTATTTTAATAGTTCCACCCTAGACATGTTTGTTATTTTTCAATATGCGCTTCTTTTTTTTCTTTTTTTTTTTAAGGCTAGTAATTCAGCTTTAAAAATCCAAGGGCCATGTGGTGCTCATAGTTAGGCACCATTATAAATCTTGTGTGATCTCATGAATGTCTTGAATTTTCTCTGGCATGTCAGAGACAGTTGACCATGTAATTTATGGTGGCCCATAGGAAAAAGATAAATGAATAACTGGAATAGGGGTCCACCATTTAAATTGAGTCGGAAACCACTGGTCTAGAAAAAAGAAAGTAATTAAATTGGAGAGCTGTTTATCAACAAGATAGCTTAAATTTAATTTTTTTTAAATAATTCCTGTTCAAGAAATGAATTAATTTCAATCTTATGGTATATAATAAATTTTTATTATCAATTAAAATAAGGTATGCACTGTAGTGATTTTTTTTTTTGTACCTGAGGAAGACCCCATACCGGCGGACAAATGCGTTAGCTTAATTGAATTTGTATATCTAAGGGATTTCAAATAAATGGGATAAAATTACCTCCCAACAATCTTTCCTTCAGGCGAGACCGCTGGTCGGTTTTCGAAGGAACAATATTTTCATTTTGAAGCCTAAAACAAAAGGTCTTCCCCTTGGTATGGTATGGTATGCTGGTTTCCCCTTGCTCATTTACATTTTCTTTATTTTATTTTCTATATATTTATATTATCTAAATTTTTCTTACTAAGAAGAGGAAAACAGCCCTAAACCTAAACCTATGTTTAATTATGCAATAAACAAATAAATAATGGCTCTAACAATAACAACAGAATTTAGGACTTAGTAATTAGAATAAATAGGGACTTGTTCATTTAAGCGTAGTTGAGGCAAAGTCTTTTAGTGCTGCAAATGATTTGATATCAAAGACTAGTTTATGGAGATTTGCTGAGGTCATGGTCTTTCGCAAACGTTCTCTTTCTGCATTGAATTTGGTACAGCTGAAGAGTTTATGTTCGACTTTTTCTTTGGTGCTGCAAACGGAGCATGAAGGGTCTTTTCTTATATTTATGAAAATAGCTTGCGAAGTTTCCATGTCCTGATAGCATTTGGGTGGTCCAGTAGTCAGGGTGTAGCTATTTTGCTTTTTGTCTCCTTTCAACGCTGGGGAAAAATTTGGATGTCAGCCGACCTTTATTGCTGTTTGTCCATCTTTCTTGCCATGATGCCTTTGTCATTTTTCCCAAGTATTCTTGTTGCTTCCTTTCCAGTTGTGCTTCAGAACCAGTCTATTTCTCCTTGGCTTGCTCCTTGCCTCATTTTTCTTTTTTTGGTGGATGACCACCCTTTCTTTAAGGACAGGATCTATTGGCGGTTCATTGGCTATTACTTGTAAGGCGTTGAAATTATCCAGTACCCTTTTGTGGTTCTTATAAGAGCAATTCGTTGGCTTTGCTCTATTATAGCTTTGCTTTTGCTCGGTAGTCGTTTGGCCCATCCGGCTGCACCATAACTTGCTATTGGGAGGAAGACACTTTTATAGATTGTGGAGAGCGCTTTTGTGCTAAGTCCATATTCCACTTTCACTAATCCATTCAAACTATTGTACACACTTCTTGTCATTTCCCTTATTTTAATAGCGTGGTGTACCGGGTTCAGGTAATCGCGTAATATTACTCCCAAGTACTTGACTTGATCGATTGGCTTTACTCATTTTCCACGGTAGTGAATTATTAGTTTGGCCCTTTTCATTATTAAGGAATTAGAATTACCAATAGTTTATTTTATTCCATAGGTACTTTCATTTTGAATGATAAAAACGACAATCAACTTGTAATTATCAGAAATGACAACCTAATAATTCTGTTTAACATTATTTTTTAATGCACTTTTAGGTTCTTATTTCTGTTATGACAACCCCGGAGCCATGCAGGATATCATTACTAAAGATATGAAACTGACGACAACCCAGTTTACTTATTTGTACACATTTTATTCTTGGCCTAATATTGTGCTTTGCTATATTGGAGGATTTCTCATCGACCGGTGCATACCTTGCATTTACTTAGGATAAGTACTTAAGACGTAGTTTTTATGCCTTCTTTTTTTTTTCAGAATTTTTGGTATACGATTTGGAACATGCTTGTATGCATTAATTGTATTCTTAGGACAACTTCTTGTAGCGTTTGGATCTTTTATTGACTCATTTAATACAATGTTATTAGGAAGGCTTATTTTTGGGTAATTACAGTTTTGTTTTAACTATGCATGACAGTGTTATTATTTTCATTTAAAAAACNATATATATATATATATTGGTTTTATATATGTAGAATTGGAGGGGAATCGTTAGCAGTTGCACAAAATTATTATGCCGTGCAGTGGTTCAAAGGAAAGGAACTTAATATGATTTTTGGGCTCCAGTTGAGTTTTGCCAGGGTTGGCTCTATGGTAAATTTTCTATCGATGAGTAAAATCTACGAGCATGTTCATGAATATTTTAAAGGGAGGGAGGCCCTTGGAGTTACACTGTTACTAGGTAAGTGTAATAATTTGTATTTTATCAATTTTTTAAAACAATCTAAATTCATTTCAGCATCTGCCACCTGTTTGATGTCATTTGTAAGTTCGGTTTTTCTTGCTCTGATGGATTCAAGAAGGAAAAAACCGCCACCCGTTGTAAGCGCGACAAATGATGAAGACGAGGAGGACAAAGTGGAAATTGCGAAATTATCAGATGCAAAAGATTTCTCAGCAGCGTTCTGGCTAATCACAGTGATCTGCGTAGCTTATTACCTTGCAATTTTCCCATTTATTGCATTAGGAAAGTGAGTCTGGACTTCTTTTCTTTTTTTTACCAAAATAGGATTTATTTCTTAATAATAAAAATTGCATCTAACAAGGGCAGGCTACAGATGTGGGATCACTGATTTTAATGTAACTTTTCTTGGTGATGCTAAGTCTACAAATATTAGATATGTGTCCGAGTGCTAATTCCAGTGGGCCCTAGGAATGTGGAAAAATAATTGAATTAATTAATTAAAAGCATATTTTGATTTTTGTAACTTTTTTAATGTGTTTCACTGAATACAACCTTACATATTATTATATTACTCTACATTAAAAAAAATTGATTCTAGTGATAATAATATAGTAGAATAAAAAATACTTTTTATTTTTTATTTCTCTGCTTCTAGGACTCATTGTTATAAATAATCGAGCATAAGTATAATATTTTTTTTACTTTTTTTCCCCTCTTGTGTCTTTCATGTGAAAACATAGGTAATAACCCTTTTGCTGCGCATAAACTGTCATCTATTGTGCCTATCCCTCCTAATGGATTTTCATGAGAGTATCGTTTCTTTAATGAACTATCATGAACTTAATCTGTATTACTAAAAAAACTGTTAATTAAAATCGGTTATCTTCTTATAAATAAAACTTGCGAGATATCTTGTTGAGGTCTGCATGATAATGTGGTGTTTCATCCCATCTATCTATGCTTGTAGCTTTAAAATCAGTGAGGATAGATTGTATGATTGAAAAGTACCAAAATACAGGCTAGCCAATTTACTAAACTCTTCATAATTACATCACAACGAGGCCATATTTTTTATGCAATTTCATTCTTTGATTATTAAAATGGATTTTATTCTTTAATAATCTATTATAATATAAAATGCTACTATGTTAAATAAATTAGTAAAGGAAAACCTTTTAAAATTACTAAAAAGGTTACAGCTAACTTGATTTTATAAAACAGTTTTTTTACTGTATTCAATTGAAACTTTTTTTTTAAATATCTCAATTTGTAAAATTTTGTCTTCACAGTCACGACACTTAAAGTGTAATATAAATAATATCACACCTTTTGGTGGTTATAAAAATACCATTGTGCAGATAAACAAACAAATAATCACCTGGGGTGTCAATGGCCGCAACAGTTTAGACTCTACATGGCGCTCATCACTGTAAAGTAAAAGTCCCGGGTTCAAATCCCATGGCCCTGCATTCGAACCCACCCTGAGGGCTAATATAATCTCATAGTTGAAATATCCTCGTGTTTAAAAAAAAATAATAACAATATAAAACAAACTATGCCCACATTGTCATAAGTCAATTGACAACCTTGTCAAGTCTGTTTATAAAAAGAGGAAGTAAAATTATAACTTGAATAATCATGTTTGTGGATATTTTACTTTTTTTTTTTTTCTTCTTCTTTTTTTTATGAATATTTTAAAATAAATGATTTATTTTCCTAGAGTGTTTTTTATGAAAAAATTTGGATTCTCAAGCGCAAAGGCCAACTTTGTGAACAGTTTTGTTTACGGCATGTCTGGAGTGGCGTCACCCATTCTTGGCTTTTTAGTCGACAGGACTGGTTGGAACGTGTTTTGGGTTTTTATATCAATCATATCGACCATGGTTGCCCACGGATTGCTTGCATTTACATTCTTCAGTCCATTTTATGCTATGGTAAAATTTTTGTCTTTATCTTCTTGGCGATTTATTTTAGTTTATAATTTTTCTTTCAGATTCTATTAGGACTGTCATATTCTATGTGTGCAAGTGCTCTTTGGCCAATGATCTCACTTGTCATCCCAGAATACCAGCTAGGATCAGCTTATGGAATGTAAGCGTAATAAATGTGCATATTTATTACTTTTTGAAATTTTTTTTAATTAAAAACACTTTTAATAAAACTGCTTTCAGTGCTCAAGCTTTGCAGAATCTTGGTCTAGCCGTCAGTACAATGTTGGCTGGAATGGTAGTTGATGCAGGTGGATACATGATGTTAGAAATATTCTTTATAATGTGGCTTATAGGTAAATCAGTCATTTTCATTTAGTTTAAAGGCAATAAACTATTAATAAAATTTTCAGTTTCTCTCATTGCCTGTCTCCTGATGTGGTTGTACGACTTGAAAACAACTGGCATACTCAACATGACTGTCAAGCAAAGAGACCTTTATGAACAAATGAAGTTAGTGAGCTTCTGTTCCAAAATATTTATTAAACTAATTAAATACAATTTCTTTCAGGCCGTCGTCCTCTTTAAATAAATTGGTGCGTAAACACTCATACGCTGGGGTTTCTCCATACCTTGTAACACAGCAGTCTGACGATCAAGTTAGAAACAGATTGCTATCAAAAGCTGGCGAGACGAGTGTGAGTATTTCATTTTTGGAATTAATTTTAAGCATAATAATCCAGTTTAATGGAGGATTTGTATACAGTGCAATTAATGATAATTTATAAAATGATAAAAATCAAACTAACAAATCTTTTTTTTTTTTTTTACTGCTGGTTTATTGATCAGAACATTACAACAATAAGTTATAAGCTTGTAACTGTACTTTCTGATTATCTGTAATTCATTTCAGGAGGAGCCTAATATGTCAGGAGGAAGCAGTGAGGTCTGAATGCCAATCTAAAAAAATTCATTCTATTTTGTGTGCTATTAAAAGAATTAACTTTTACTTTTTACTTTTGTTTTAGATGCCCATTGCGTGATACGATAACATAGCTGTAACAGAATTGAGAAGGATAAGCCAAGATGAAAATGCCATTTTTCATAATGTAAGTACATTATTTTATTTATTAAGTATTTAACAAGTTGGCTACTATATGGTGAACATGGAGACTATTTTTTTTATACAGTACCGTCTCAATGACCCTTGTTCATATTAGCCGAATAATATGGAAACAAATTGTAAAACTGGTCTGGTAGGCACATCGTTGCAGATATATATTGACAAGGCCGAAAGTGTAGTTATGTTGTTTTGTACCATTTTGAACTGACTATCCTCTCAGTTTTTGCTTGTCTGGGGGCTTTCCATTTCTTGCCATATTCAGTTTTTATAATAATTTTGATTAAATCACACAACTAAAAATGGGGACAACTCTGACAGGGACCAAACTGGGGGCGTCAGTGGCTACAACGGTTTAGGAGTTGACACGGCGCTCATTACTGTAAGGTAAAGGTCCTGGGTTCAAATCTAGTGGCCCTGCATTCGAACCCAACATACTTACAAATGGGCTTTTTTCAAAAACACCGGCACCCTGAGGGTTGATATAACCTCTGCTGTTGTGAACCCTCGTTAAAAAAACAAAAAACAAAAAAAAACTACAGGTTCATCACTTCACGGACTTCTGAATTTTTGAAAGTCCAGCAGAAAATAGGCACTAGAGTTTGGAATGGCAGTAGCCAAATTAACTGACCATTAAACACAAAACTATATTTTTGAATAACGATTTCCTCTCTGCCAATTGAAACATATTCAGATTAACAAAACTTGGTTTAATTTAAATATATAAATAAATAAAATAAAAATTAAATTTAATATAAATTGGTTTAATTGTATTACGCGACAGCGCTAGAGGACTAGAAGCAAATTTATTGCCTTATGAGTTTTACATTGTAAGAGTGGAGAATTAATTTATTAATTATAATATATTGTAATTAATAAAGATACAATGCTATGTGTGATTCTGTATTGCGATTGGTAAGAATGCCTGCAGAGTACATTAATTAAAGAATGGGCCCAAAGATGCTGCCTTGCGGAACACCTGATTCAAAAAATAATTATTTTTAGTTAATTGCCAGTAATTTATGTTTACCATAAATTTACGAATTGATGTAACAGTTGCTTAAAAAAAATCAATTTATTTTCTAAACTGACTTATGTAGTGCTAGAAGAAAGGCTTAGGTATAAAATAAAATCGCTTAAACTTTTGTTATACATTAAAAAATGACTGCAGTTTTTTTTAGTAAACAGTATACAAAAGGCTTAAAATTAACCTTTAACTTTTTTTCAGATGCCACATGTTTTCTACGAATCCTAGTAAGAGTCTGAGTAACTGAACTCCAGCTATCTTATATAGTTTTGTAAATATTTTTACAAAATTCGACAAATTTGATTTATTCCAAACCAATCCAATTTTGAGGACTGACTAGAAAATATTACATATTTTCCATTCCATCCGTCTGTAATGTTCATTTGAATTTTATCTAGACCTATTAAAATATTGTATTTTAATAATAAAAATATTAATGTTCAATATTATATGTAATGTAATTATTTAAATAATTTGTATATAACTGCTATATAAATAGAAATCATGATAGAATTTTAGTAGTATTATATTATCTCACGTTATGTAAATATGTTTATATGTAATGAATGCATTTATGTGAAACGTTGAAATATTTTACTATTAAGGTGATATATACAGTGCGATTTAGTTTTTAATAAATTTATTGAAATAGATTCTCTCACTTTTTGTTTGAAATATTCTCATCTCTAAAAACAATTAATTGTTGTTGGAATAAGGGTAATTTTTTTGGTAAAATGTTTACTATTATAACTAGACACTCCTTTATCTAAGAAATCTCAATTAATGAACAGAGTAATTTGAAAATGTTCCTTAATTAAGATTAATATAATCATGTAAAGAAATATTGTATCAATAATGTGTGCTTATGATATATATTTGTCAATAACCTAAATATTTGTCTTTTTATAATAAATGTGATACTCGGAAAAGGGTTATGTAATCACAATAATGCAGAGATATCGAATGTGAAGACATCTATCTAATTTTCATGATATCAGAAAAAAACATGAATAGCTCATGAAATGAGGCTGTGTTAGCTTAGACCCACACTAGTAATACAAATAATAAAACAAAATGTTTTGTTGATCCTGTTTCAAAATATTTGCATATCTATTCATCCTGAGAATTAAATTTTGACAGTCAATTAATTTATAATGTAATATATTTGGCAATATTATTGTTATTATTTTTAAAAGTTTAGTGTGTAGTCTATTTTGACGGTTTTCATTTTTGTATTATTATCTGTAGATTCTTAAAAAATAAAGGACAATAACTTAGTTATTTCTATTAAAAAAAAGAACAAAAATGTTTTAAAAGTAAATATATATTTATAACATTAATTTATTTATAACACTGATGTACAAGAACCAACACTTTTTGCAAAATAAATGTACCATTTAAATAAATAATTGTCCAATTAATTTTTAATTTTTTGATCATTTTGTAAATGAACCGCTTGGTTGCACCAAAAAAGNCACCTATGCGGTCGCTTTCCTGCTAGAAGGTGCCCGTGCGTATGACCTTTTCCCTTTTTGACCCATTTTCTGTGAACCAGGGACCAATGTCTTTCTTAACCTACCACAGTTTAAAAAATATATATTTTTTAATTTTTAGATTCAGGGTTAATGTTAAAATTGTTGAAATTATAAAGAACACACCTGCCAAAATAATCCTTATGATTTATTTGTTATGCATTTTAGCCTAGCTAAAGGAATACCTCTGAAGGCTAATGGTACTCTGATGGCTCAAAAACAGGTAGAAACTCGTGAGCTGGAGTCATTGGGGTAAATCCAAACTCCAAAGACAGAACTGACTTTAAACTTTTTTCTTTAAGGTAACTCTGCTTAATTTTTCAAATCTGAAATCGTAGCAATTAAACACTGCACCAGAGAAAAAGAAAGGCTATGAATTCATTCCAAGAAGATTGCCATTTTCTCTGACAGTGAGACAGCAAGTGTATGGAATCTTTGGTAGAAGTCAGTGACACTTCACTTAACCTTGCCATGAGTCCCTGGGCATTCAGACCATAGAGAAGTGGAAAAGGAGCCAATATGAATTCTCTAGACCCCAAACCCTACTGTGGCACAAAAGAGGGTACATCCAATCGTGAAGAGTCCATAACCTGGTGGAGCAACACCCAGGCATGAGGCACAAGAAGAGACTTACAAAAAAAATTGCTGGAAGGTAACCACAACAACCAGAATTCTAGTTGGACTTCTGACAGGTTACTGCCACGTAAGAAGGCATATATAGTAGGTAGAAATACTGGCAGAAGGAATAGTGCCAGTAAGAGATGACCACAGAGCTGCAAGCAAGATCTTACATTGCTGGCAAGGCTAAGGAAGTTGACTAACAACCTGAAGCTGGCCGGTGGGTTATAAAAATTAAAAGAGCACAATAAATCAACTTACGTCAAGGTGCAGAAGACCTTGAGGCCACCTCATTTATTCCCATCCCTAGCCCTGCAGGGCCCAGTTGAACAAACCAAAGTACATAGACAAAAATAATAAAGAAACCGCAAGGCTGGTTTTGGTGAGGGTATGTTTTTTATGAGTTCAAAAATTTTAACTCCAACCCTGGACATAAAATTTACTTTATTAATTTACAACTTTTCACCACACTTTATAATTTTCATTGTATTGATTATAAAATCATTTTACAAATTCAAATAAACATTTTAGAACAAATAATTCTAGTTTATTTATTCTATGTTTGTCTGTATATAGATGTTTGCTCATTTTCTTTTTCTTTCTTTTTTTTTCAGTATAAAAATGTAGAAAGATGGTCTAAGAAAAAGTAATTTGTACTGGATTTAGAAAATATTCTAAGAGTATGAATCTTCTCTCTAAGTAATAATAATTTGTGATTATTTTCAATTATGAACATATAAATTTGCAAGAAAAATTAAACAATTTTCCATGTTTAATTTTTTTTTTTTTAATCTTAGACACGATGATGCGTGCATTCGTTACAAGGAAAAAAATACTCTTCAGAAAACAGCTGTTGAACTTTTTCATTGAAAATTCACAAATACTAAGATCAACTTGCAATAAAAGCGCTTGATTTTACAAATAAGATTTTTGTTAAAATCAGGTGTAATCGGATGATTTTGAATGCATAAAGGACCCAGCTGGGGGAGAAGCTTTCTTGGAATTTATTTCAAATTCAAATAAAATGGAAAAAGAAAAATCCCCAAAGAAAAAGGATTGGCCAAAGACACCAGAGGACTCTTCCGTAAAACCTGCCTATGAAGAATTCTGGGAAAATGAACTAGAAGAGATCATCCCCGAAGAAGAAGGTGAGCAGTCAGAAAGTTTGAGCACTACATTTTCACAGCTTACGATCCAAGGTAGCACAGCACAGCCTGCATCTCTTGGAGCCATTATCCCTTTTGTAAAAGAGCTTTTAGAAAATTTAGTCGCCAAAAGACCAGAGAATGTGATAGAATATTTTGGCGAATTCAGCAGACGAGTACAAGAGAAAATCAAAGAGACTTTCGGCATTGGCGATGTATATTTTCAACCATTTGCCGAGCTTTACACTCGTTGGATGAGATCTTTTGTGTTAGGTTTTGAAAAGGTCAAAGATGAAAATGACACTGATGTTGTTAATCCTGTGCAGCCTGTACTTGAAGAATCAAATGAAGAAGAAGAAGAGATACCGAAGAATGATGCGTATTATGCAATGCATATTATGGAATACACACTAGAGGATGATGATTTCGATGAAAGTGGAAGACACGGTAAGGTAGTATTTTACGATCCAAAAATTGATTATGAATACAGTGAATTTGAATATAATTTTCTTGACCAAATGAGAATTTTTGATGATGTCGGTCTTGGTCTGACAAACCACGAAAAGTATGAAATACATTTTGCCTTGCACAAACTGGTAAAACAGCGAAATTTACAAAATTTGAAATTTTGGGGGAAAATTAAAGGTTTATACAAAGATTATTATATTCTAGAGTGTGATATGTATGCAATTGAGGAAGAAATAAAAGATGAGTTAGAAGAAATCATAGAACCACCCCCTATGTTAAAGAAGAAAGATAGTATGGAACTTTTTTCTGAGGAAGAGGAGGAGACTGACGTACCATATATTTTAGATAAGGTTTTTCCAGACAGTGAAATAGAAGGAGAACTTGACATCAATGAGCCTGAGATTGAAGCTCTTCCAGAAGAACTGGATGAAGAGTTTGCAAACTTTCCAGTAGAGGAGCCCGCTCAACAAATACTGTCAGAAGAGAGAGTGGAAGAAGAAGAGACACCACCCAAGACTCCTTCAGTTTTTGAATTGGAAATTGCAGATGAAGATTTTAAGAATATGCCTTTAAATAAAATAACTCTCAAAAATTATAAATTACCTCCTTTACCCGTTCCAAAATGGAAGCCAGAAAAACAACCTCCAATGGAAGATCCTGGGGAAGGAGTAAATAAAAAAATTTATTTCGTTGCCAACAATCCGAAATGTGAGTGGATCCGTCTGCCACATGTCACACCTGAACAAATCGTAGTTGCGAGGCAAGTGAAAAAATTTTTTACAGGATATCTATCTGCAAGAATATTAAGTTACCCAACTTTTCCCGGTATTGAAATGAATCTTTTGAGAGCCCAAATAGCCAGGATATCTGCCGGTACACAGATATCACCTGCGGGATATTTTCGTTTTGATGAAGGAGAAGAAGCATATAACCCTGATGATGTCGCTGCAGGAAAGGGTAATGTTTTAATCAATAAAGAATTTGATCCGATGGCAATAAAAGACTTGACTGACCCGACGCTTGCCTTCTGGGTGCATCACACTCCATACATTTTAAAGCAGGGGAGAACAATATGGTATAACGTCAATAAAAAAAAAGCGCCTATGAGAGAAGAAATGTTTGGAGAGTTTGGTGAAATGGGTGAAGACGAAACACCAGGTGAAACAGGTCCACCGTTGTTAACTTCACTGGCAGAAGACGTCCCATATGAAGGCATACCACCTTGGACGGTCAGGCCGGCGCTCGAACTCGCTCCAGCAGATGCATGCGTCTATGTACGGTCGAATCTGTGGCCAGGTGCCCATTCGTTCAGCTGGGGCAGGAAAATTGGTTTTCTTTACATTGGCTGGGGAATGAAATACTGGCCTAGCGGATTCACTCCCGCTCTGCCGCCACCTCCACAGCTTGAGTACCCACAAGGGCCTGACATCAAAGAAGACCGAGATCCAACAGTTGCTGAAGAAGATGATTATAAGAAACAACTTGAAGAATGGTGGAAGAAAATGCATCCTCCAATGCTTCCCGTTGCAGGTGAAGGAGAAGTTGAAAGCGAAGATGATGTATAATATCAATCAAGTGTTAGGATTTTATCATTATTATATATTATTTTTTTAATGAATGTAGTTTTATTTTATATGTAAAAGTAGATAGACTTTGTGGAAATGCTTATGTTTTAAATAATAAAGTTAAAAATCAATAAAATTATGCAGTCATTATTTTATGTAATATTGATTCCATCTTGTAGCACTTTCATGCTCTATGTAGCATTCCTTGGCTCCACATAGGGAGCATGTAAGTGCTACCTAATATGAGAGAGGTGATTTTTGAAGGAACCAGGACTGCTTTCCTGTACATAGATTATTGACATCTCGTCTTGTGTGTCTTTTCATTTATTTAGACTGAATGTATTTATTAGCATGAATGTGTAGTTCGAGAGGACCGATGACAAAATATTGAGTATCCATCGACAATTAGATTAGTTGCATATTATGTATGGGCGATCAGGTATTTCAAATACTCCACCACCTTAACTAAGTGAATGGTATGTAAATGGGAAAGAATGTATTTAAGAGTGAAATTAGAAACTAATTGCTTTGGGGGCTGAAACGACCTTGTTGTCGACAATCTTTGGAGCCCAACCTTGGTAGCTAGACAGGTAAGACTCCGGACTGCCAAAATCTGAGGTGATTCTTGAAGTATGCCAGCAATGTATTGTAAATTACTCAAAAGCCCGAATTGCCAGTGGGCTGCGCGAAGTGATAGATTCAACTAGATATAGATGTAGATGTAGATATAATTTCAGGGTATAGAATACTGCGCCCTTTAAGAGCTATTGTATCCCCCGTGCTTTGTCTAAAGCACATTAGTGAGTCCTATTTCATCAAGAAACTTGATTAATAGGCCCGGTTTCAATGGTTCAAGCTCTTCTATGGTCACATTATACATCCCAAAACACTTCCTCTTGCGAGCAAGTGTAGCTCCGCAGTTTGTTAGTAAATGTGTTGGTGTCTCTTCTGCCTCTTTGTAGAATTTGCATGTGCCATTTTGGATTATTCCAATCTTCTTTAAGTGTCTGTTTAACTTGCAGGTCCTGTTAGCAATCCTATTAGGATTCGCAGTTTATTCCTGCTTCCCTTGACACATTCTGTAATTTCTTTTCTTCCGAAATTGGTTAGAAGATTCTTGGATTATTTGTGTCCAATGAGTGAATTCCAAAGTTCCCTGATTTTCTTTTTGTCCTTCTGTCTGAGATACTCATTAATAGTGGGTTCCTATGCCACAGAAGGGTTCAGGTCCTGTCAGCTGTAGCTGCTCCTTGCCTTGCAAGGGTGTCCGCTTTATCGTTGCCTTCTACTCCCATGTGTCCTGGGACCCAGCAAAGGCTTTGTTCTGCATACCTAATATGTTTAGTTTGGTTTTGCAGTTCAGCACCATCCTTGAACTAATGATATTTGAGCTTAGTGCTTCGATGGCTGCTTGGCTAGATTCAACTATATACATATGTGTATGTAATATGTATGTACATGTAAGAGCTGAGTTGAGCTTATATAAATCAATCAATCATCCATTTATATCTCAACCTACTGAAAGAGTATAGTAGATTTGGTCATAAATCATTACAAATGAAATATCAGGGTTTTTTTAAACAAATTTTAATTATTAGGTAGGGTATTTGAGTATGAGTACTTTATAATTGACTTAATCATTATATAATTTATTGAATATAAAAGAAAACAACACTAATACAGTTTAAAATGTCGTTGTTATGTGTGGTTTTTTGTATAGACATTTTTATGTTCACATTTGCCAGAATCACCTCTAGGCTGTTGCAGTCATCCATCGCTAGGGAAGAAAAAGAATTTATTGGACATTTTCTTTGTAAAAAAACACAAATTAATAGAGTCTTGCGCACAAATATCATCTATCCACGTAAATAAAGACTTTACAGGCTTGTGTAGTTTGTAAAAATGCGTTTTATTTAATTTCTAAGCAGGGATATACAAGGGTGAACGGACATGCTAGTTTAGATCCGGGTCTAACCTAAAGGAGATTAAAGCTAAACTTTGTTTTAAACAACAAAACATAACAAAAGAAATATATTTAAAAGAAAAAGTGTCCGAAAGTGATTAACTTTTGGTCGAAAGTCAGGCTAAATGTAATAAAACAAAATCTTTCTGGAGTGACGGAGTTCTGTGGCATTTGCATATGCAGTTCGCTCGGTGGACGACCCTGGAACTCGGTGTCCCAAGCGTTTTAACCTGGTTTCGCTCGTAGCTGCTATTTAATTCAGACTTTTCCGAATAAAGTGAGAAACGACCTACTGCCAACGAAGGACCAAATCGTCGAAATGTGCAGAGTAATTATAATTTATTTACCCATTAAAGATAAGACTTTTGGCTCAAACGCTCCTTGTTTGGACTTTGGAGTTGGCGTTTGGACGGCAGAGGACGTCAACAATCATCTGTTGATGTTGACACTTGTCATTCTGACAGCTTCGATACTGTCAAAATACACGATAATTACGATTTTATCAGTTACTTTTATCCTTCAGGACTATTTTAATTATTTGTACGATCTGTAATTTACAATGTTTTAGGCTGAATTACATCCTCGAACTCCAACACTTGCCATAACCCCTAATGAGTTAAGCCTGTGTGGTTTTTTCTATTGTTTTCATTTCGGAACACATTGAAAACAAAATAAACAACTATATCCAAATCTTGGCTGTTCTGCGCAGTGTCATGTTTTAAATGCCAACAACATTATAAGGTTGTTTCATGTCTGTTTGAAGTTTGAGTACATTTTGGATTGCTACTTGTTTGGAGCTGGCGTAGTTAGTTCGACATTTTGACATTTTAGATTCCATCAAATTTAATGGTTATTTGTTTGTTGTTTTTATTGTTTGAAGTTATGTTCATGATTTATATGGCCTGTTTACCTTTTTTGGGGGCAGAACTGTATCTCTTAGTCCAACACTTGCATTCTCCGATCAGTTGTACCCCAGTTTTTCTAATGTTTTCAGTTTTGAACACATTTCGTATGTATAAAAACCAGTGTCATGGTGTAAATGTCACAAACATTAGAATATTTTTTTTATTTTATTTTTTTTTATTGGCCTTATGATCTTGCATATTAGCCATGGTACGAATTCTTTGTGTGTTCAAATTGGGGGTTATCGGGAAAAAAGGGCCAGAGGCGACGGTGGGAATCGAACCCACGACCGCGGCGTTAGAATATTGTTACATGTCAATTTGAAGTTCAGGTCCACTTTAGATTGCTATGATTTGAAACTGGGGTAATATATAGTTAATATGACATTCTGACATATTACATTGCATCAAATTTAATGCTTATTATTTTAATTTTGTTCGTTAATTTCATCCTTCAGGTCTAGTTAAATTATTTATACAACCTGGGTTTTACAATGTTTTAGGAAAGGCTACATCTTCTAATACTTTGGTTATTTGTAATGTTTTCAGTTTTGAACACAGTAGAAAGTGTCAGTTTGAAGTTTGGGCCCATTTTGGGTTGCTACTTTTTTGGAGATGGTGTAGTTGCCAGTTGGTATGACATTCTGGCAGCTTAGTTCAATCATATTTAATGATTATTTGCAAGATTTTGTTTATTTTTTTTATTCCCAGCTATTTTCATTATTTATACTTTCTGCGTTTTACAATGTTTTAGGCAGAACTGCATCCTCCAACTATGACCCTTGCATTAACACCCAATCAGTTATGTCCACATGTTTTTCTATTGTTTTCATTTCGGAACACATTGAAAACAAAGTAAAAAGCTACAGCTAATTCTTGGCTGTTCTGCCCAATGTCATGTTTTAAATAACATCAACATTAGAATATTGTTACATGTCAATTTGAAAAGTTTAGCTACATTTTGGGTTGATATTATTTTGGAGCTGGTGTAGTTGCCAGTTGGTATGACATTTTGGCAGCTTAGTTTCATCATATTTAATGATTATTTGCAAGATTTTGTTTCATATTTTTTTTATTTCCAGCTATTTTCATTATTTTATGTCCTATGGTTTACAATGTTTTAGGCAGAACTTCATCCTCCAACTCTAATTCTTGGATTAACCCGCGTCAATTATGCCCACGTGTTTTTCTATTGTTTTCATTTCGCAACACATTGAAAACAAAGTAAAAAAAAACTACAGCTAATTCTTGGCTGTTCTGCCCAATGCCATCAATATTAGAATGTTGTTACATGTCAATTTGAAAATGTTTGGCTCCGTTTTAGATTGCTACTATTACTAGAGCTGGTGTAGTTGCGAGTTGGTTTGACATTCTGACAACAAATTTAATGATTTATTAGTATGATTTTATCTGTTATACTTCAGGACTATTCTCATTAAATTGTATGATCTCGTTTCAGAATGTTTTAGGTAGAACTGCATCCTTTTATTCCAACTGGGTTAGCCTCCAAGCAGTTGTGCCACTGTTTTTTCTGTTTGATTAGATTAGATATAAAGACGAAATAAACAACTACAGCTAAATATTGACGGTTGTGCTCAATGTCGTGTTTTAAATGCCACGAAAAATAGAATGTTGTTACATGTCAATTTGAGGTTTGAGTCCATTGGGTTTTTATTATTATTTTCCGACAGTTTAGTTCCATCATATTTAATGATTAATGGTAAGATTTAGTCTGTTATTTATTTTTTATTCCAAAACTGTTTCCTCCAACTCTAACACTTAAACTCCCAATCACTTTTGTTGTAATGTTTTCAGTTATAAACACGTTTACTAACTACAAAGGTAAAATAAACAAATATAAACCATGGCTGTTCTGTTCAGCATCATGTTTCACCATGCAACAAACATTAACAAATGCAACAGAAACTGCTGTTACATGTCAATTTGAAGTTTGAATCCATTTTGGTTTGGAGCTGCTCTTGTTGTGTAGTTGCTACGACATTCTGATTTGAATTTACTTTTTTTTAGTTATCTTTTGATACTGGTTTGTAGCTGGTGTTTGGATAGGTAAAATTTATGTCATTTTGACAACTATGATCCTGTCAAAATTTATGTAAATTAGTAGTTAGTGTGTCCTGGTACATTTTTAAATAGGACTTGTTTAGACTGTAACAATGTACTTGGCCTAGCCAACATGAGTAATTGTAGCGTAGATCAATCAAAATTTAAGTTAATTTGTACAATTTACTCATCAATTTTTCTGGGTTTGTCACTTTCATAACATATACCTCCTCTCCTAGTTTAATTCTTCTACAAATATTCAGATTCATTGAAACATATAACATTTGTAGCTAATAAATCTACTCCTAAAATAGAATTAAGTAAATGTATTTTATCTTTTCTCAACAGAATATGCAGTGAAACCAAGATGGTGAAGGTGGGTGAAGACGGTTCTGACCACGACAAGAATTAAAACTCGGAGTTACGGTTGTTTAATTGTAGAATCACAAGTATGCAATTTTATTTTGTTTAAACACAATTGTATAGGCCCAGTTGCCTGCACACAAATTCTTACTGATGTATTCTTCTCTTCTGTGGAATTTCCCAGAAAAAACTGCCCTTGGAAGTTTCACCACAGTAGTTGGCATTTTTACATCTGATAAAGTCTATTACATACATAAACACACGCATTAAGCCTGCAGCTTTTTTTCTGGGATGAGAGGAATGGTGGAATTTCAAAAATTCAATCATTCTCGCATTAAATACTATTGGATATGGTTATGACTTACTTTCATAAAAAATATTTGATCTTAAACCAATAAACAACTTTATATTTCTAATAAATTTATAATTTACTACAAAATAAATTATTACAGTGGGAGATCGGGGACTATTTTGAATTTACATGGAAGCAATGCTCTTGAGGTTGGGACTTAGCAAATTGATGCACTTTTTCTGCTTATGCACAAAATAGTTATTTCAAGAGTTTCATCTTGACAAACAAAAATTTCAAATATATAAGGATTCTTTAAACACTCTATGGCAATAATAAAAACAGAGATATGACCGAAAGTGAACAAAATGGGCTCATTAAAGATTTGTTTTTAAAGGTACGCCTTCTGAGAGTAAAATGAATCTTTTGTGTTTTTCTTACATTTTGAGGGTTGAAGCTTGTATTTTTATGTAGTAAAAATAATTTCTTGAGATCCTGAATTTGTTTTGGCAAATTTTTTGATCAAAAATGTATTTTTATGCATGCTGTGAATAAATAGCTTCCATTCAAATTATTCAGTGCTGGCTTTGTAATTTTCAATCTTCAACTCTTAAACTTTCAACTTTTTTTTTAATTTATAGTATTACATTTTTCAAATATTAATTTGTTCACAGGTATGGATGTGCCGGATAAAGAAACAAGTGTAAAGAAAAATAAGGAAGATGGAGAATTCACACCTTCTGTTGAAATGATGGTTCATGACTACGATGATGAGAGAACACTAGAAGAAGAAGAAGCGCTCGGACCACTCGAAGACCCACAGGTCGAACTTTCAAGCTTGCAAAAAGAAGGTGATATGCCACTTGAGGATCTTATGGCGATGTACGGCTATAATGAAACCGATGCGGCTTCTCAATCATCAGAAGAAATAAATGGTGACAGGTCTGAAACGGAATCAACAGACAGACTGGGGCCCTCAGAATTGGAACAGTTTTATAACGACGTCGAAGTGGAAAGTGAAGGAAACCACACGAGAAGAAATGTAAGGATAAGGCTAAGCGAGGACGAAGAAGATTTTGAATACTATCCCGATGAGGAATCAAGAAAGAGAACCATTATGGTTGGGAACGATTATCAAGCTTGGATACCAGAAGTTATGAATAAATACGAGGAGTTCCCTTATGAGAATGAAGACAAATTGGTTTGGGATCCAAACGGCTTACTTCAAAAAGACATAGAAGCCTATTTAATAAAAGCCCAAGAGAAAAATAAACGAGACGTCCCAAAGGGAAAATACCCCAGTGATGACGAACAAGCCCTTTTTCTACTTTTACAGTGTGGCCACAACATCGAGGAAGCCCTGAGGAGGAGGATAAACACTGAAATGTTCCACGGATCAATCAATCTTTCAGAAGAGGAATGCAAACAGTTTGAATCAGGTTTGGTACTTTATGGGAAAAGATTCCACCTCATTCAACAAAACCAGGTGAGGACGCGTACGGTTCGTGAGCTCGTCGAGTTCTATTATTGGTGGAAGAGGACAGAAAGGTACGACATCTACATGAAGGCCAGGCTTGAACAGGGTAAATTCGAACTTGACCCAACCTTCACTGATTACATGATTGGTCCAAACAGAATTGTGTCAACGCCATCGCCAATAGACGAGATTCACAGGACACATGACGACCAAGGTTTAAACGATTCGGATAACCAACACTCTACTGCGGAATCCGACATGGATAACGAGGCAAACGGTGACAGCAATCATTCATGTGATCACCTCAACAACGGCATGGAGATAATGTCGAAGAAAAATTTTGCATAAATGCCTATCATGGATTTGTTTCAGTTTTCCATTAATCTTATTTCACTTAAAAAAAAGAAATCACATCCAGAATTAATTCCGTGTTAGTGCATTCAGGGTGTCTAGCTGTAGCAATTCAAACGTTACTTATTTCAGTGATAGTTTTGAATGTTGGACAAAAAAATGAAACTTATTATGAAAAGTTTTTCATATTTCCATTAAAGAAGATAAAATTTCATATTTTATCCTGTATGTTATCTTCATTATAATTCAAAGGATCGAAGGCAAGATGAGTCAGAAAGCCAATTCCCATATACTAAGAAAAGAAAAAAAGAAGATAAATATGAAGGAGAATGGCAATGCTCAAAATTTCAGATAGTTCTAAAATATGGTCTAGCATATACTAAATGATGAATAAATAAATTATTTTCTATTTGAAATAAATGTAGTAAAGGAAGCCGGCCAGATAATTTACAATGAGTCTACCGTTAGTTAATCTAAATAATAGGGTCCATCATACTTTAGAATTTTTTTAATGCTTAATAAAGACAATTAACATACTGAAATATCGTTAAAAGATATTTTTTGTTGATCTCCCAACAATAAAAAGTGCCACCTTATTAGATATAATATTTACAAGGAATTTTCCTTTCAGAATTTTATTTTTATTTTATGGCTTACGAGGAAAAATTTGTAAACCCTTTCATTATCAAAGTCTTAACTTCTGTTTCTAGGTTTTTTAAATTTATCCAAAATGTTCTCATATGTAATTGTTAGAAAATTTGAAGAAAAAACAATTATAAAGTGTAGCTACTTTGATACGATAGTCTTTTCTACTATAAATTGTCGTGTTTTGTCTTAAACTTGTTATAGATCTCATTGTGATAATGTTAAATGTTGTATATCTGAAAATACTTTTTTGAATTTTAATCATAGGAAAGAAAACTATATGGTTTTTTTTTTTTATATAAAAATGAATCACTAAAATACCCTATAAAAAGAAAAAATGTTGACCCCCTCCACCAAATATTAAATTCATTTAACTTATAGATGTCTTGATTCGAATTATGCCAACGCAGGATTATAATGCATTTGGACCACTGATGAAGGGCACAATTAATTTCATACTTGCTTCCTAGAATCAATTAATATTTGTCACTAGACACCCTGGCTATCGGTAGAAATAAAGAAAAACTGATCGTTTTCTTAAAGTAATACTCTGTATATAATATTTTTGGTGTAATTCAATGTTTCAAAGCACATCAATTTTCCCTCCAGTAATTTTTTTAACTATTTATTTTTTTGTGATGTCCATTAAGTTTATTACACATTTTATATTGTTAATATGAATTAAGTACAATTTTGTGTTTCAAAACAACACAAAAAAATTGTAAAACACAAATATTTATGTAGTTTACTTTTGATACCTGTACAAACTATTTATTGATTGCATATTCCCCCCTTTGGTACAAATAATAAATGCAATATGCAAAATAAATGTTTGTGTGAATGTAGTAAGTGTACACAAGTATGTGTTAATTTTAAGTTTTTTTCAGCAAGTTTCTAGTTGCTAACTTATTATAAATTTATATTTTAAAAGATGACAAATATAAGATATGTTATTTAAAAGCGTTGTTTCAATTTTCAACCTTTCACAAATGGCATAAATTAATTTTTGGCAAGAATAACCGAATAAAATGAAAGATTCACCACTTTCTCTAGTGTACCACAAAAAGCTAGAGCAAACCAAAATGGTATTAAAAAAAGTCAGAGCCTTAAGTAAACACATTATTTCAAGCAAAGAAAAACTTATTTTGATCCAAGATGAAAATAAGCCACAGAAAGAACTTAGCAATTTTTACGACAGTATTAAAAATAAAACTTTTAAACACAGAAATAGCCGTTTTTTGAGGTCAGGTAAATTTTAAAAAAATGTGGAAAGGGCATACAGTATGTCAAAAAATCAGCCATAGACCGACTGATAGGTAGATGCATACGCTCTGAAATTCTTACTGCTACTGCATCCATTTTGACTGTTCCGAGATTTGGAAACGGTTTCGTGATGATAGCCAGAAGCCTCAAGAGCTGATTTTGATTGCCGAAATTGGCCAGGTAAAAGGTGTACGGGTCAAGACGTGGTAGCTTGCCTCAAATCTGATAGAAACTCACCCGAATGTAAGATTGGCCACAGTTAAAGAAATCTTTATTTACTTAACCAAAGAGACCATTAGTTCAAGAAAAGATAAGTTATATACATACCAATAAACACATAGTTTATTAAGTAATTATAATATTTTCAATCCTTTATTTTCTCATGATCATCTTATAACACACCAACATACAAAATATGGATGAATACGTATTATTGTTAAGAAAATTTGTCTTTACTGTGTTGAAAAAACAATGGGAATAGCCAATGAAACGGAATATAACATTTTATCAAACAAATTTTATTCACTATATAATATAAATACACTTAATTTGAACATATTTCAAAAACTCAATAAAAAATGGAAACTAATTTGTCAGTGAAACCACTTCTGGTGACCGAACATGGAGATTGTCACTTTAGAACTCTCTCTAGTAGCCACTGTTTTTTTGGAGCAATTGAGCAAAGCGGTTTGTTATCAGGAGTGAAACGTCTATAAACCGATCGACACAGTTTGTTAAGCATGTCTCAGTTCGGCTGTCCAACTTGATGCCGGGCTTGTCCATGCATTTATCCCAGCATATATCGCTGAACTCGTGTATCTGCAATGACAAACAGAAATCACATCTTCTAGAAAATTAATACAATATACCAAATTGAAAACAGCACTGGGCACTCTCAACATTTTTCATTTCATTCAATTCGTTCATCTATAAGGTGATGCCTAAAGAATAGATGTTCATGTAATGGTGTAATAAAGCAAGACCTAAGATAAAGGTAACAAAATAATAACATCAAATTATAAAAAGGTATATGACCAAATTAAGGAAAAAAAGAGGTTTTTTTTGTATATTTTGTGATTTTTCCATGGGGTTTATGGGATGATGAACCTGTAACTTGGTAATTTCTGATCATTTTGGCCTCGTAGCAGGTTTAATCTTTCAGATGACTAAATTATTCCTTATAAGACTAAATTTCTAAATATGAGAATTGAATGAATTCGATCATCGATTCATCTCATTTTCATTTGATTTCTTGATTAGTAGGCGCAGTTTCAGTGGTTGAATCTCTTCTATGGTTATGTTGTCTGTCCAAAAATACTTCCTCCTGCATAGAGTCACAGTATGCTAGTAGGTGGGTTGGTGTTTCCACTGCTTCCTTGTAGAATTTGCACTTTCTGTGCTGAGTTATGCCAATCTTATTCAGATGTCCATTTAGTTTACAGTATCCTGTTAGGATTTGAATTTTTTTCCTGCTTCCTTTTAACGCAATCTGTTACCTCTTTCCTTCCAAAGTTCATTAGGAGGTTCTTGGCTTGTTTGGGTCAAATGAGTGAGTTCCATTGTTACCTCATTTTCATTTTATCCTTCTGTCTGAGGTATTAGTGTGGATTCCTATGGCACAGAAGGGTTCAGGTCCTATCAGCAGTATAGCAACCTCTCTTCTTGTAAGGGTGTCGGTTTTCTCATTGCTTTCTCCTCCCACCTGTCCATAGACCCAGCAGAGGGTGATATTGAGTCGCATTTCTGTCTGTATAGTGATAGCAGAAGAAACCATTTCACAGACAGAAACGTGGCTCATCAGTAAACATAACAGCATTCCAATTGGCATTCCTAGGCGCTCGCTGCACCATATTCTCCTGAGTTGCTGGTGGCGAGCTGTTGCTGCAGGTCATCTCAAAGGGGCATGCGATGTGCGGCCAACCTCCCACAAATGATTTCAAATTGTTTGTGTTGATAAAGCATCTTGTACTTCATTTAAAATCTAACAGGCACTATGGAAAGGGCTCTTACAGCAATCATTTAGGATCTTCACATGAAAGGATTGCGTCTTGTAGCAATGACAATCTATCTTTCCTCCCTTAGTGTCATAATGTGCTGAATTCCACCACCAGGCCACCTATTGGCACTTCCAGCCTCTCAGAATTGGGCTAAAGCACAGAGACCATGCTCTGAGAAACTCCTACTGCCTCTGCGATATACCTAGCTGGTGACCTCAATGACTCACAATAACATTGTGAACTTTTAGTTCAAGATGACGTCTTTCCTTGTTTAAAGAGAATACAACTAGATTAAAATGGAGAAAAAAAAAGTGTTGGTTTACAAAATGAATTATCTTCATGTTTACTATTCCTAAGTTAATCCGTTATTAAAAATGAGGATTAACAAATTTTTTGGTTTGTATTTCCTATTTTGTTTTACCCAACTAACAAGAATATAATGGTTAATTTAATTAAAATTAACATGATAAGAATAAATTACAAAAATCCCTATTCATTTTTGCACAGTTTAGTTCACAATGTTATTAGGTGCTCTTGATACATTAAAAAGCTTATTATCTTCCTTTTTCTCAACTTTTGAGTTTACACTTTGTGATTATGTTCACACAAGAGAGAGAATTCTTTATTATTACTACTTTTCCCTAAATTCTTATTATTGCTACTATTATTTCTATTTTTTATATTGTGTAAAAATATTTATATTCTGTAAAATTTTGTGACCTTGTTGTTGTTCTTGTGGGACTTTAGTCCTAGAGTAAAGTATTTTCTCTCTCTCATAAACACCACCATCTAATCAAGTCTCTGAATCGTTAATATACAGAGGCAAAATATTCTACCCAACTGATTTTTTTCTTCATTTTCTTGATAAAAGAAAATTCTGCTCTTAATTTGTCTCATTGATTTGACCAATAAATATTTGTTTATGCTATGTTTTAAATAGGGAATATCAATTAGAGGTAAACACAATCCTTAGCCCAAAACGAGGATAAAGGATTTTTCAATGTTTAGTTTTTACGGAATTTAAAATGTTTATTCAGTCTCATTTGAATTCTGAAGCAATAAATTGTTTAGATTTCATCTTTGTTTTCTAAATTTCAAATTTTAAACTTAAAAATGTCAGTACTGAGGATGTTGCGTGTAGTGTGGCACTTAAGATCCATCAGGTATGCGTCTATTGCCATTGGAGTTCCCTACGAAGCACTACAAGACACCATTAGACGTTTTTACAAAACTGGGTCCTACCATAGAAGGCACGGTTCTGGATGCCCTAGGGTAACAGAACTGCAGAATGAGCGTTTATTACTTTAAGAATTTTGTGAAACAGGCAGCTTGTTCAAGCGATTCATCAACTCCAAGAAGTTCGAGGCGTCCAAATTTCTGAACACACAGAGTTCCATGGCTCGCATTTCCTGGAGAATAGTCATTAGACTTTGTACGATTGGCCTTCTGTACTTTTTACAGAACCAACCTTTTCAACATTGCTCAGTGATGGCGAGAATTTCAGTGGAGAGTCGCACAGAATTGGTTGTTCGTGGAGGGTCTTTGACGGTCACTCGCTATATGCATGAATAATTGGAATTTCATGCGTTGCCTATCCTCGATGAAATCAGTGACAATCCTATTTTAATGCACGATAATGCCCGTCCACACGTCACTCGCATAGTACAAACGTATCTTCAACAGCATAACATCAGAGTCTTAGCCTGGCCAGCCTGTTCTCTGCACATGTAAGCAATTTACATTTTTTACTGTTTTAGGCAAAGACTCAATTATTAAACGTTAACAAACGTTAAACTTTGATTAATATATACAAATCAAGTTATATAGTGATTCATCAACTCCAAGAAGGCTCGGCCTGAGGCAAAGGAGACGTCAGCCCACGTAATCCAGAGCTGCTGGCGGACACACGGAGGCAGGGTCCTCAGACATGACGCGATCGTGACGGCGCTGACAGGGGCTCTGAAGCAGAAAGGATACAGCGTCAAGAAAGAGCACCTCTTCGCAACGGCATCTGGGCGATTTAAGCCGGACATCCTAGCTGCGAGAGACGGCCACCCACACCCACGTGCTGGATGTACAGATCGTGGCGGCTGGGCCGCCCCTGCAGGAGCTCCACCGGGCGAAGAAGATGAAGTACCAGGCGAACCAGGACCTCACCAAGCAAGTGGCAGAGCTGATGCAGGCGGAGACGGCGGAGGTATCCACGCTGACGATCTCCTGGCGTGGCGTCCTGTGCCATGCATCAGCGGAGTACCTGAGGACAATGGGAATTACGAACCGCATCCTAGCAGGCATGGTGACAAGAGTCCTGCAAGGGAGCCATATGACCTGGACGCGCTTCAACCAGACCATGGCGATGAGATGAAGACACACTCCTGGGCATGTGTAACTAACGTGCGTGAGACCTTCGCACCAGAAACAGTGACAGTGCAATACAGTGCGAATAAGAATGTTGGGAGTTTGTAATCTACAACATATGAAGTAACAATGATGTAAAGCTGTAAACTGGTAGAGGTCAAATAAACGTTTTTGATAAGTGGGTGGAATTTTTTGCCTGCCAGTGTACAATGAAAAAAAGTCAGAATGTGGTGGGAATTATCATATCCATATTTTTCCAATCAAAAAATTTAAAAAAAAAAAAGGTTTTGCTGTAGTTTAATGGCTACTTTTATACTTACTTATGAAGGTTTGAAGTTGCAAAAGGGAATTGTTTAAATAAAAAGCTGGCTGTAAAAAAAAGCTTAAAATGATAAAAATAATCAAGGGATAAAAACCCCTCTAACCTGGGCTTGTAATTTCGCCTTCTCCCTCTCGACGAGAAGGAACTCTTTCAATTCTGAGTCCAGCTCTGAACCGTCGAGTCCGGAATTATCGAGGCTGTCCCCAGACGAAAATAAGTCCGACATTTTTCAACCGTGCAACTTTGAATTTTGTTGAAAGTTTTTCGGGCGGGTTGCAAAAATTTTGTGTGGAACGTGACTTTTTGTCTTTTCTTCGCCCTTCGTGCAACCGGAACGAGGTTCGACCGGCGTCCTGTAGGGGCTGACGGAAGGTAAACCGGCGACGTGCCCTGTCTACCACTTGCCGAAAATTTGAATTTTGTACCCTAAAAAAAAATTTCAACAATTTAATATATAAATGTCAAATTACTGTACTTTTTTATTATTAAATGTCTTTTTTAACTTTAAACAATCTTAATGAACCACAATGGTTAAAATGAAAATACATTATTTAATATTTATTTATTTTACAAGTACAAATATGGCTTTAAGCCCTCTTACATGTGCATATATTAGAAATATTTTTTTTTCTTTTGACAACCTAATTAGCTACAGCCATTCATACCATTTCTGTAATTGATGTTTTAATTTATTATTTCTTTATCTACTTCTCTGTACATTCACATACCTGAATGGTAAATATACAGGAATCGCGTTGCAAGTTCCAGATAAATTTCATACACTTTACACCCAGTGTCCGATCTCTCTTAAAATTTGAACAATTGGTCCATAAACTTGAACATTATTTGGGCCCAAAATGGTCTGGTAGTTAAAAGGGAGATAGTGAATTAAATAGAACTGAGTAATCTGACTGTTTCTTTCATTTTGGACATATAATTCACATGTATCAATTTCTGTTCAGTGGTAACAAATTCTTGTAGGCTGTATTATTTTGGATAAATGCTCATTGTAAATAGCATGACTCGAGCTTAATCTACATATAGTTCGACACATTTCTTTATTTACTGATTGGTTCTTAAACCAGCACGTTCCGATTGTTTGTATGGCTTTGTAAAAACATCCTTTACTAGAACTATGATAAATGTCTATTGTAATAATGTAATTTTAACTTTTTGAGTTCACTGCAGTTAAGGGTAAATGTTGAAGTTTTTCCCTGTGAGGTTGCTTCTTTTGCCAATTGATCAACCTTTTTATTGAATGTCAACCCTGCATTTGCCTTTACCCAAGCAATTATACCTTTAGTTTCACAAACATAGTAAAATAATAACAGCAATAATAATCCTTATTTGCAGTCATAATTGACCTGTTTAATTACTTCAATTAATTACGAGCGGGATTCAAAACGCCGTTATATTGAGAGAATTGAGCAACTGTGACAATTCCGCTCATGACACTAACTTTTTCATCTCAACCAAGACTTTAGATAAAAAGTATAATTAATTGAAATAACTTAATAGGTCAATTATGACCGTTGTAAAAATAAATTTATAATTGCTTGGGTAAGTCACATGCAGGGTTGACATTCACTGAAAAAGTTGATCAATTGGCAAAAGAAGCAACTTCAATCGTGGCTTCAAAAAGTTAGTGTCATGATAGCTCAAGTAGCAACAGCATATTGAACTGAAGGTTGAGGGTTCGAATCCTGCTCGTATTACTGATTTTTTCCTCTCGACCAAGCCTTTAGATAAAAAAGTTTAAATAATTGGAGCAGTAATAAAATATACAAAACAATAATGTCAATAATATATTTTTTAAAGTATTAATTAATTATAATCGAATGATGAAACCATATCATGAAAGAAAACGAGGAAGAGAAAAAAGGAACTGGGGAAAAAGAAAAAATGGTTGATATCATTTTTAAAAACTCAGATGCCATGGACCTGAAACAAGCCAGTGAGGAGCAGAACATACTTCCTGGGGAAGCAAATTCTATAGGACTGCAATTCTGAAGGGTAACGCTCCTCTTGGTTTAGAGGAGGGTAGAAGCCTTAGGATATAATTGGTGCGCTTGGATAAGGAATGAGGGACAAAAGTTGATAGATATTGAGGCCATTTATTTGGTTCAATTTTAAATATATATTTATTATATTTAGTGGTCTGATTGACCAAATTACTTCTTTCAATTAATCAACCTTTTTATTAAGGTTTTAGTTGAATTGAAAAAGTTAGTGCCACGAGTGGGAGCTGAAAGTCATGGGTTCGCATTCTGCTCGTGACACTAACTTTTTCATCTCAACCAAAACCTTACATAAAAAGGTTGACAAGTAGGGCTTTAAGCCCCCTTACATGTACATATCTTATAAATAAATTTAGTCTTGGAAAAAGATTTCCGGTAAAATCTTGAGAAATTTTTTTGCATTCATCAAGAATAACCTTTTCCAACTCTTCTAGGGTATTAGGACCTGGTTCTGGCACAAACTGATACTGGGTGAAGAAGCAGTATGGTAAATGTGGGAGTGGAATGGAATTCCTGGAAGTGGATCGAGGACAGACCCCAGGTTTTTGGCGGTGTGACAAAAATATACAATGTGATTTTTAATCACTTAAATAACCGGATTGCTGCTCAAGCACAATCCAGCTTTCCAACCTGAAGAAATTAAGTGAGAACATTATTGAACAGGAAAGGATGTAATAAACACAAATTTATTTTTTAATTTATTTATTAACTTAATCATTTAAATTTTTAACACTAACTTTGAGCATATCTGTGATGAGGGTGTAACAATTTTTGTTTTTAATTATGCATTTTTATCCTAGGTGATAATTAAATGCAACACCAATTAACTACAAGTTTTCCTCTTGCATTTAGTTTTAGCAAATCAGATCAAATTAAAAACAATATATAAAACATATATTAAAAAAATCGTTAGGGATTGTAAGAAGATGATTCCCTTTAAACTTTTGTCATTAAAATATATAGTCATGAAATATCACAAAATATATTTTTTAACAAATAATAACTGTTCATATAGCAAAAACAAATTACATTTTTTAAGTAGTAAAAACATAAAATGCTTCCTTTGACTTTCAACCGATTGAATTCTCAAACAAGCAAATAGTAAAACTACATTCCATAAATTTAAACATAAAATAATATGTTAAAACTTAATGCATTTATATTATTGTAGGAAGTAATTGAATTTTTATGTAATCCCAGTTTTTATTCTTAATACTTAGTACATATTGATATAATATATTGATTATTTGAAATAAGGATTTTAATCAAGTCTTTAATAAACATTAATATAAGACTAGAACTGAATGAAGTTCAATGCAGAATAGTAATTAACAGTATAAAAATATATTTTTTCAATCTGTGCAGTAAATATTTGTGCTATATAGCTAATATTTTCTTATATTTTAAATTTAACTTTGAACTCTTCTTTGGTTAGTGTAATCTCCTTTCTAACAGGGCTTATCACAAATGAGTAAAGTTAAATTGAGAAATGATATTTTTTTCCTATTTAACATTGACTTGTCATAGATTATAGATTGGAACATTAACATTTTCATTAAACATTTGAATGTTTATTGGACATTATTCCCTTACATTTAAGCTTATTATAAAACATACATGCATAAATAAAATTACAAGGCAGGGAATTAAGTTTTTTACAAATCATAGTTTTAACATACAAAAAATAACTAATTAATAGATTTGCAAGTAGCAATACTTTTAAAATTGAAAATATCCTATTTAATTAGGATTAGATATTCATTTAATAATACTATAAAATATATTATACTAATTCCTAAAAACACTGAATAAAAGTCTTATAATCATAAAATTAGACAAAAATAACTTAACCACTATAATAAAATTTTTTACGAATAAATATAAAGAACAAGTAGTAATAGAAGTAGTTGAATTTGTTAATAAAAATGAAAATTTTATTTAATTGTTAATTTTTTTCTATACAATTTCAACTAGAAATCTGGAAAACTATAAAAGTATTAAGAAATGAGTTAAGGAGTGATGTCATGGGGTGTGAATGTAATAAATAATTTTATAAAAAGCGTAAACACCTGAAAGTTAGTCCATAATATGATCATAATGAGTTTTCTTTTCAACTTGTAAAAAAGATTTTTTTCCGCAGTATAATCTCAAAACAAGAAACAAGACAAAAATGATCTGTGGGTTTTGTAAGATTTAAACCATTGTCTCATGTTAAGATACAAATATAAAAAAATACATTTCTTTTTTTACATGGTTGGCTTATTTGTAGTACGGTGTGATGTCTTGCATGATTAACTGAAGAAGCGGCGTTGAATTGTGTAGTGCCATCCCTCGGCGTTTTAATCTGACCAAATATTCAGCAATCTCGGTACTGTCCTTTCCATATTTTTGACAGAGATCGAGTGATATGTTCAAGAGTGGGACGTAATATCTACATTTATGCAAAATATATTTAAAAAAAGTAATATTATGCACAATTCACACAATAAGTACTAGACAGTTACAAAAATTGAGCATAACGTTGCAATTAAAAATAAAATTTATTCTGGGACTCAAAGTTCCCTAGAATAATTAATTATGAATACAAAGTATGTCTAAGGATTCAAGCCTGACAAGGCTATTCAAAGTGTCCATTTACAAAAAATATAATTAAAATACTTTATTAAAATAAAATAACAAGGGACAATTAAGTATCTTTGGTGCCAAGTTATAAGTTCAAGAGGTCATCAAAGAGATGGGACTTGAAGCTCAAAAGGGATGGAGCATGGATGATGATGATGAGGAAGAGAACTTTACAAGTTTGGAGGCACGGATGGCAATTTTTGGAAAAACATCATCACCAAATTTAAATAGTTTAAAAAATTAGAAAATCTTGGAAAAAATAAGATCTATTATTCCATTATGTATTTATTAATTATTTTGATTACCTTTACCCTTAAGATTTAGGTAAAAAGTATAATTAATTTAAGATCTATTTTATATTAATTTTTGTATAAATCTGATGGTTTATGCAAAAAGACCTTTGCAGCAAATCATTATAGCCTATGTAAAAATCATTATGCACTATATGTAAAATTTGACAATACAATAAAATACTAACCTTAGCAAGTCTATGTCACTAACAGTTTGAAATCTTCGAACAGCTAAATCAGCAAAGTTCAAAGCATATCCACTATTCACGCTGTTTGATAAGCAAACCATAAGGCAGAGATTTCTTAAAACAGCAGGAGCACGAGCTGTTTGAACTTTGTTCATTACCCAGAAACAGTTTTCAACCAAAGGAACAGCCTTAAAAAAATTTTTTTTTAAGGATTTGTATAAAAAAAAGTTTTACTAATTGTACTTACTTGTTCAAGGTTGTTTTGTTCAATTAACTTAACTGCATTTGAAAGCTCTCTGTATTGCATAAAATTGGTCACAGCCGGTGAAATTCTGAGCTGGGATGTCGTACCGATGACTTCGAGAAATTTTTGAAAGCCTTCCTTCCTCTCGTTTATAACGTCCTTTGAGAAATTTCCAAATATCGCTTTACGAGGAAATTGCACGGACTCTGTTAAATCAGGAAAGTCGTTTTTCAGCGAGTTGAAAAGAACGAGGAAATCCGTGTATCTTCGTTTAATGACAACAGGCTGCGGATCCTTTGCCTCAGAGCTGACTTTTATCGAATAGATCTGAACGACAATATCGTTAGGTGAAAAAAATTATACGACCGCTGGTTAACTGGATTTGGTACTTACAAGAAAAGCTTTCTTGCCAAGCTCTACAGTTGAAACGTTAACGGAAATTATTTTAAAATTTATTTCATTTAAAGTAGCCATAGTGAAATAAAATCAATTTAAACTCCTTGCCTTGCTAATACTATTTTCTCATACTCTGAAATATATTTCAAAAATATATAAGTATATTTGTAAACTAAAAAATGCATGCTGATTCATTAAAACATTACAATTAAACTTTAGATATGTATATATGTACTTATAGAATTATATGATTATATTAAGTATTGTATTTCATTTTACAGTATTACAATTGTTAAAAAAAAAAGATTTTATTATAAAAAAGAAAAACAAATAGAACAATTCAAAGGTGAATTTGTAATGTTTTAAATATTAATTTTTAAAAATAACAATATTACAATGGTGATAAAAGAAAAATATAATAACTTTCTTACCAGAGAGAAATGCCAATTGTCTCTCTACAATGTGTAATGAAAATGATAGAATGAAAGACAATGGGTGAAGATGTTGATTTTGTTTGTTAAGCAAACTAAAGATGACTGGCTTACAGATGAGTCACATATATTTCACAAACAATTCCCCTAATCAGAATATATTTTAAACTTAAGTTAAATCATAATTCGTTCTTAATTTGTGAATCTGATTTATATAATTTCAAAAATTTAAAACTTGTGTTGAATATGCACTGTTAATTTTATAGTTTAATGGAATAATTGATGTCTTGGCTAATTAAATTTTTAATAGAATAAATTATGAGAAACTAAAACACAACCTTAAAACAAATAATGTTGTAAAATGTTAAAGATAAACATGAAAATTTTTATATACGTTAAGTACTGGGACTGCCTAAAATATTTCCATCCCCTTGCAAAATGAAATCAGATAACTCTGATGTGGGCACCCAAATTGGCACACTAAAGCATGCTAAAAATGTAACTGAACAAATAGCTATAGAAAGAAATAATCAAATGCTGGATCATATACAGGCGAAAAATAATCATAGAAGTTGCTCAGTGAAGATGGCACAATGCTGAAACCAAAACCCAACAATAAGTGACCTAATGATGGTTCAGCATAGATTCACTGACTTGTAGACCAACACCCAACATCAAGAGGTTCCTTAATCTCAACCATGCAAACAAAAAGTTACTTCTTTCTCAATTGGCATGAACTAAGGAATATAATAGTTCTTTATACTGCCATTGCCTATTTAAGTAACACCACAAAAAATGGCGAAAAAACAGAAACCCACTTAATTTGTCATGAAGAGGCACAAACATTGGACATGGTCCTTTGCTAATGTACCGGCAATAATACATCATATACAAAAAGGCAAAAAAGCGAAGAGGAACCATGGAAAGTTGGGTCAATTTCACAATAAATCTTTAAGGTTATAAGGTTAATGTCAACCTGTGATTTAAATGTAGTACTATTAAACTTTTCAATACAATTCAGGTGGGGCGTGGACAGGACACCCTCCTGAAAATATTTGTCTCACCTTTGGGGGGAAGTAGAAGATGAAAAAAACAACTAATACATTGAAATGAAATCCTTTTTCCACTCCATTAAAAACTTGTAACTTCCTTTAAAACTTACTGTTACTGTTATAATCTACACAAAAGAGAATAAAGAATGCTATGGGTAGAATTAAGGCTAGAAATAGAAATAAAACCAAAAATAATGACAGTGTAGTTTTTATTGCTAAAACAGGTCCCATATGAAATTATTATTTATTTCAATTAATTATTCTTTTTATGTAAGGTCTTGGTTGAATTGAGAAACTTAGTGTCACGAGCGGGATTCGAACCCATGACCTTTGGCTCAATACATCGCTCCTCTTACCATTTGAGCTATCGTGACAATCTCACTCAACACTAACATTTTTAAGCTATGAATTCGGTTCGAATTTGTAACACTAAGTTTTTCATTTCAACCAAGATCTTACATGAAAAGAATAATTAATTGAATATGTAATTTGGTCAATTAGACCACTAAACATAAATGGATTATTATTTACACTGATATAAAAATGTGAAACTGCCATGCTTAATTGTATATTGTTGTTTCTTTCTTAATTCATCTGGAATCTATTGAATTCCGATATGTATGTGTTTAATATAACAGGATTTAATACAATAAGAACAAAAAGGTTATTCTGCCAATACAATGAAATGAAATCTTTTGTTTTTCAATCTATTAAAAACTTGTAACTTTCTTTAAAAGCTCTTTATACAGATATAATCTTACACAAAAGAGAACAGTGAAAGTATAAATACGCTAAGTATAGAATTAAGGCTAGAAATACAACCATAAACAGTGACAAAGTAGTTATTGTTGTTAAAAATAGGTCCCATATGAAATTATTAATTATCCCGCTTATTGTTATTAATATTATTAAATTAAAAATGAAATTATTATCGAATCCCGCTCGTGTCACTAGCTTTTTCATTTCAACCAAGGCCTTACACAAAAAGAATAATTAATTGAAAGAAGTAATATGGTCAATAGACCACTAAATATAACGGATTATTATGTATTTATTATGTACTGCCATGCTTAATTATTGCATTTTGGTATGTTTCTTTCTTAATTCAGTCTAGAATCTAGTTAATTCAGAAATGAATGTGTTAAATATAATAAGAAAAAACGAATGTCAATCTGTCAATACAATGAAATGAAATCCTTTGTTTTCAAACTACTAAAAACTTGTAACTTCCTTTAAAATCTCTTTATACAGTTGTAATAATCTTACACAAAAGAGAACAGTGAATGTATAAATACGCTAGGTATAGAATTAAGGCTAGAAATAGAAAATGAACCATAAACAATGACGGTGTGGTTATTATTGGTAATAATGAGTTCCTTAATGTTTATATTGAAATAAAAGCCGAAACTTACATGTCAAATTGTATATTGGTCGGTTTCTTTCTTAATTCAGCCGAGAATGTATTTATTTCCGATATGTATGTGTTCCATAGTACATACTAACTATTCATTGACAACTGCCCCTTCATTAAGGCAATCATTACAGGTAACAGCTTGACAGAATGTTACCTCTTCGGTCCTTTGTTTTCAAATGTAACCTTTTTGCAACCTCTCCCGATGCCTGTTAACGCCCTTGTCAAATTTCCAAATTTCAAATTTGTACATAATTTGTATATAGTCGAATAGTTAATATTTTAGTGTTGTGCAAATGTGATGGCTAATACGGACGCCAAATCCTTGGCCGAGGCGGTTCTCATCAATCTCTCGAAGCAGAGGTCGAAAGGCGAATTCTGCGACGTCCAGTTGACGAACGGGCCGTCGAAACTTTGGGCCCATTCCTGCGTCCTGGCGACTGTCAGCCCGTTCATAACGAGATATTTTCTTAAACATTTTGGCCGTCTTGTCGAATGGTCTGTTAACAAGCCGATACAATTGAATATATCGACCCTGACCAAGTGCAAAGGCGAGAGCAGGAACAACTGCATGGAATGCGTCGAGGATACGGTCGATTTCATCTACACCGGGAAGATCAAGCTGAAGGAAAAGCACTTGGACCATGTCCTGAACCTCTCGAACAACTTAGAGCTCGACGATTTGCTCCTGATATGCCAGAGGTATAAAAACGACAAAGGTGTTGATTTTTTTAAAACCGACGACGGTTCAAACGTAGAAGCTCAGATTTCTGAGAAAGCTCCCACACCACTTAAAGAACCTCATGAAGTGCTAAACACGAACGAAAGCAAGGAATATTCTTGCGACACATGCGGTTTTAAGTCAAAAGACGATGAACAGTTTCTCCTACATGACTTTATATTTCACAGATTTGACTATACATGTTTGTCATGCAGTTTTGAAGAGAGTTCCATTGCGAAGATAGTTGAGCATCTTCAAGACCAGTCTCATGACAACACAGTATGCTCCATTTGTCTTTTCAACGCTTGTGATGTTACTAAGTTAAAACAACATTTCAAAGAGCATGCGGATCCGGAACCGTTTAAATGTCAGCATTGTTCATTGAGATTTAAAGATAGATCTCAATGGTTGAGACATTTCTCCTCCGGCTGCCAGTCCAATTCTGATCTAAGTGTTTCACTACACAGAAATCTTGATTCTTGCCTGATTTGTAAAGTCAAGTTTGAAAATGAATCAATAACTAAGAAACACATGAAGGTTTTTCATAAAAACAAATACACTTGTCTCTCTTGTGAATACAGCACTTTCAAGATTTCAAAAATTATAAACCATTTAAAAGTGACTGACCATACAGAGCTTTATTGCTCATTGTGTTTACAAGAGACAAAATCTAAAATAGAGCTTCAAAATCATTTAGAAGAACATTTACAAAAGTTGCCATTTAATTGTAAACGGTGTAGTGTTTCGTATCCGAATAGAAGACAATGGTGGAGGCACATGTCCTGTCATTACGACGAGAAGCCATTCGGCTGTATTTACTGTCAGCTCAAGTTCAAAAACAATGTACTTCTCAACACACACGTTCTTCGTATGCACAAAAAGAAAAAGTACATTTGCTCCGTCTGTGGTTTGGCCGAGCCATTTCCATCACTGCTTGAGAAACACATGAAATCGCACCGAATTCAAAAACAGGAGTTTGTCTGTACATTTCCAAAGTGTAATTTTAGAACGAATTATAAAGTATATTTCGCCAAACACAGAAAAGAGCATGTGGTACGGCACAATGAAAACAAAAGCTCGTCTTTTCAGTGTTCTATTTGTAAGATTTTTTTTTCACTTGAAAAAAATTTAAACCGTCATATGAGATTTATGCATAACTCCAAAGCTCATCAGTTTAAATGCCCGCAGTGCAATTATCTGACGGTAAGATTAGACAAAATCAAAGATCACTGTGTTAAAGTGCACTGTATGGGTGAAAGGGAATCAAATGAAATTATAAAACTTTTAAAACTTAGTGTATCTGATAAATCAAAAATTAAAAGGTCAGAGGGACAACAGGAAGATGTCGATTTGCATCTTCATCATAAACGATCCAATTCTAATGACAAACCGACCCAAATTCTCGTACCACCATTACAAGAATCACAATCTTTAATGAACAGTAATAATAAAAATGTGCCAAGTTTAAATGGACAAGAATCATCTTTCCATAATATTGTACAACTGCAGATTGAAGAAAATGGTCGGTTGATTGTTCAAGGAATGAATTCTGAAAAAGTTTCTCAAAACACTAACGGTGAATTTCCTCAACTTCAAATGGATGACAGTAATGTTGTAATACAACATTTGTCTCAGAGCGAGTCTTCTAATCGACGACGCCTACAGATAGGAGACGATGGAAGCGTCATCCTTCAAGAAAGTAATGAAGAGGCCCAGGAGACGTTCGTACAGATTCAAACTAACGAGAGCAGTAGGAATTATTCACAGCTCGATATTGAAGAAATTAAAGAAAACGTAATCAAAGAACTATCTAACAGTAATCGAGAAGATAACGTTGGTGCTTTTATGTCGTTTAACATCCCAGGAGTTGCAAATTCCCAAAATAAGGAAATCCCGACTCAATCCAATAATTTCACACAACTTCAAATAGAAGAAATAAATGGAAATACTGTAATACAAGAGATAATCGATAAAGAGAATACACCAGGTTTAAACCATGAAAACGGTTCATACACTCCAATTCAAATCAATACAGATATTGGAAAATCTATGCTGCAGGGTATCAAAAAAGGATTGCCCGATACACAGGCTAGCTCTTCGCCAAGAGACTTTGTAAACGAATCGGTTAAAAAGACTCTTTTCCTGAATAAAAATACAGGTGAAATAAACATACTCAGTTCAACTAAGGGAAAACCTATTCCAATAGCAAATGTAACAGCTACGAATTTATTGACTATTGGCAATTTCAGAGAGGGAACAGGGAGCGTAACACTCAATGAAACAACAGGCGTTTTAACTTTCAACAATATAAACAGCGGTTCGACAGGTGCTGTGTTCTTGAATGAATCTACCGGCGAGCTTTCATACATTGATCTCAATGGGGAGAATCCCGAAGAAATCTACTCGCAGAAGGTCGAGTTGAATGAAATGGAACAGACTCAGTTGGACGAGGTGACAGGGGAAATCGTTAAGATTGACAATGGCAAGACCGTCGAGAAAAAAGAGGACAACAATATCGATGAAATTTTTGATTTTGACATGGAAAATTTCAACGAAGATTCTTTCGATGGGTTTGACGATTTCGATGAACTTCTATTCGACAACGTCAACACAGAAAACCAGCCTGAACACCAAGAAGAGAATAACGTCCAAAAGCGAGTACATTTTATGATGCCAGGAAATCAGACTCCGAGGCTCGATGAAATGACCGGCGAGTTCACATTTGATGAAACGAGCTGTTCGACCGCAGACATTTGGAATGAGCTTAAACCGTTCAGGGATGTGGATGAGGTAGAGGATGATTCACTTTTAGAAAATGTCAACAGTGGATCTTATAATTTCCTTTTGAATGAAATAACGGGCGAATTTTATAAATAGTTATTTTACTGCTAAATATTTAATATTCCAGTTTTATTTTTTATAGTTTAAAGACTGTTAACATAATTTATAACAACTTTTATTCCTGTTAACGCAAGTTAACATTTTTATCTAGTCAATTTAACTTATTTGTGATAAATATTTTTATTGTATGTCTATTAAAAACAAATAAATAAATAATTTATACGATAAAATGGTTAATTAATATTTTGTTCTAAGCCATTAGTGTGTAAAAAAAGTAAAATTATTTAAATATATTTATACTGGTGTTTATAGTATATAAATTCAAATAAATAAATAAAAAATAATTATAATGATAATCCTGTTTACAATTTAAATTTTCAAATTGGGTGTTTATTTGTTATAAAATAAATGAGGATCTAATCATTAATTCAAGGGTCATAATTAAAACCAAAAATACGTCTAGAAATATTGAGTATCCAGAAATATGTTTGTTACCCATCTTATCATTCTGATCGGACTGTTCTCGCTGTTTTATCCAGATGAATTTCAATATCTTAAGGCCGTTCGGTATCCGATAAGACAGCAAAGGTCTTGAAAAGAAATAAAAAATTGTTCCCACTTTTAGTTATGCCCCCTTACTGTGATAGCAATTTTTATTTTTATTTAGTATGCTTGCTCGATTAAAAAAAAAAAAAATATACAGGGTAGCCAAATTTGTTTAACTTATTTTTTCCTTATTTTATTTAACAAAATCTATAAATCTATCATTGCATTTAATTTGATAGTTATATAGACAAAATTATGCAGAAACAAACATAAGTACAACTGTTACTACTTAACATAAAGTATTTGTAGGACAGGATTTATTTCATTTTACAATAATTATGCTTTTTAAAATGAGGTATCAAAAAAAAAAAAAAAAAAAAAAACGAAAATACTATAGTTTATATTTATTCTTTTTTTCTTTAAAATAAATGCAAATTATTTTGCATGAGTAGGACAGTAATCGTGATCCTTACAGGTTGTGGTATACACATCGCATCAATATACAATAATGCACTATAATCGCTTTTTTATTATTAGTTCATAATTACATACTAATATTTCTATTGATAAGATTTACATACAATTAATAAATATTTTGTGACTAAAAGTTTATAAAAAATAATGATATAACATTAAGAAAAAATTCACAATTCATATTTACAATAATACATAAATGTACATGTGATGTTAGTTATCCCTCACATAAAACAACTTATCTAGGGATGTAATGCAGATGTTAAAAATGTATGTACAAATTTTTGTTTTTAATTTTTGCTTGTTTAAGGCATCAATACTTCTTTGTTTAAATAATAATTATGTCCAACTTGGCAATGTACCTGAATTTTATAATGCTAAATTATAAAAAAAAAGATCCAAATACGATTTATGTCAATTCACTCATAACCGCAAATTTATATACACTCAGACCGTGAAATCTGTCCAATTTAACATTCCTGCTTATTTTGTCTTGCCAGGGAATAATTCAAGTTAAAAACTTGAAGTTATAATTTATATCTTAATTTAGTAAATTAATTAAAATTATTTAAATTTTTACTTGTTGAAAGATTCTTTTTAAAAAGAAACATTCTTTTTACATAGACAATTTTTTAAAATTATTTTTTTCTCTCTTGAAAAACATTAATTCAAATTAATTAGTTCAAAATTACACAGAACATATAAATATGTTTTGTTTCATGCAGCTACCACATATGATTTGTGTGACGCAGAACATTTGAAAATATACAAAGTTCATAAATTTTATGATCGTCTCCTGACTATTGTTTAAAATGTTAAAGTAAAATCTTTAACAACAGCGACTACTCAAAAAATAACTTCCAAATTGCGAAGGAATGTTCTTTCTTGTATTTAAGACTGTTAGCCTTCACATTCTTTATGATTAATACTTTCTTTGCTGTCCTCTTCTGTTTTGATAGTAGGCACTGGTTCCTCGATTTTAATTTTTGTCGGTAAGGTGTCCACAGGTTCACTTTGTCCGTTATGAGATCTCTGCCATTTTGGGTCCCCATAGAGCAGGCAATGTATGTTCGGAGAAGTACTCCTATCTCGTCCTGTGGAGCCTTCTTGGTCTTCCATGAACCTGTCCATGTAATCCGTGATGCCGGGGTGAAGGGTGTATTTTTTCTTTTCAAGTCTCGCTTTGTTTGCGAAAATGTCATGTCTCTCCGTTTTCTTCCATAGGTAGTAAAACTGGACGAGCTCTCCTACTGAACGCGTCTTGACTTTATTCTGTTGTATCTGTCGGAAATCTTTGCCGAAACTCCTCAGACCAATTTCGAACTGCCTGCATTCTTCCTCTGACCAAATGCTCATGGAGTCGTTTGGAGGAGCGGTATTTATTCTTCTCCGCCTCAAAGCTTCTTCCACATTGTGCCCGCATTGCAAAAGAAGGAAAAGGGCCTGTTCATCATCCCTGGGATGTTTCCCTGTCGGAATGGCATAAATTCCCTGGTTGTTATTTTTTGGCTCTTGCGCTTTAATTAAGTACGCTTCAATATCTTTCTGTATCAAGGCACTTGGGTCCCAGACCAACTTATCTTCATTTTCATAAGGCAATACATCATCATATTTGCACATAACATCTGGTATCCAGGCTTGATAGTCACTACCAACCATTATTGTCTTCTTCCTATCTTCCTCTTCCAGATTATATTCGAGATCTTCTTCATCCTCGCTGTGCTGTCTTGACCCGTATCGTGTCGAACGCATGTTTGTCTCACTTTCTACTTCCCCGTCACCGTCATTGTTGTAAATTGGATCTGTGTCCGAAGGCTCGGACTTTTTGTCAGTCGATTCACCTCCATTCGATTTATCTCCATTCATTTCTTCTGAAGGACAAGTAACAGCTTCGGTCTCTTCTAACCCATGCATAGCAACAGGGTTCTTAAGTGGCATGTCTAACTCAACTTCTGGGGATGTCGGAAATCAAACAACCCTTCAGTAGCACGTTCGAATCAGCCACCGTTCCATGCATGAAACCTTCGAATTATATGTTGTATATAAACATTGCAACCGAATCTGGAAAAAAAAGAATAATTATTGTTTATGGTACATAATAGAAAACTTTGTAAAACAGAAATAAGGTATAAAATAAACAGACTACAGAAAAAAAGTCACAAAAGGTACTTGTAGTTTCACTGTTTTGGCCTGTCAAACCCATTCTGGCTAATAATTTGTATAATTTGTAATTTCAGCATTAAAAATGAAGCAATTTATTGTGTAATAGTAAATTAATTACAACTGTATTTATTTATTTTTTATTTGTACTTAATTTTACTTTCCTTTTCAATGAACAGTACCCGAATTAATTTGTGTTATTTTTTCATTTTTCAATTCTCTTTACATATTGTCGAGGTTATTCTTCTTTTATATTGTATTATTTTTATCATAATTAACTTTTGTAATACTTTTTACTATTACTTTATTTTTATACTTCTCTATATATAACTGTAATAATAGACGACACTCTATTCTGTATGTACAGATTATATATAAAATTAAAAAATATTAAAGTAAATAATCTAAGTACGTACTATTTACGATTTTCTTGAGTTTTCTGGTTTTGAAATAATAATTTTATAAGTTGGAAAGTCCATATATAAGATGCATTGATGTGTACATTTGTATTTGTCATTAATTTAATAACGATAATGAAGACCAGGATTATAATTATTTATTATTTAATGAAATAATAATCAAAAAGGGAGTAATTTTATCTTTTTTCAGCCTTCCAAGAAACGGGATAAAATGAAATTAAGTTAAGTTACGCATATAATAATTACAGTGGCCATTACGTAGTCAAAAAATGACAGTGACTATGAATTGTTAATTGTAAATAAAAAAATAAACAATTTATATAAAGTTAATGTTGTTGATAAATGACGGAAATTTAATAGATAAATCACTGCAAACATACAAGGCGTAATAATATATGAAAGATTGAAACTATTGATCTAGCAAATCCCATCACCATCTATTTATTATAAATAATAATAATAATGTAATAATAAATATTAAAAGAATAGTTACTCTACTCATCTCGACGACCGCTCCTTCCGCCGAGGTGAAGAAATTCCTTGGTTTTCTTATTTGTCAAAAGTACATTCCCGAATTTAATAGAAAAACAATAAGGTTAAAATTAACTCCATTCGTATAAACAAAAAAACCACAATATATCAACAATACATTTTAACCGTCGTGTAAACATTTGTTGTTAACATTTTTAAGACATTTCGGCCGAAAGATCGACTCCACACCGGAATTCAATTAATTTCGGTGATCTTAATTCGAAAAGGCACCAATAAACAAAACAGTTGTTTACAATCAGAAGAGATTTGTTCATTTAAGGTTAATTCCATCAGTGTATTATTTTTATTTGAGTGATTATTTATTTGTTTATTTTTTATTATTATTTCTCGACGAGATTATTCTGTGCAGCAAAAAGGGAAAATAAATTTTATTTCAGAATAAAGACGACCAAATAATTAATTCTGAAGAATTTGGTTAAAAAATGTTTTCTACTGTCCTGTCCGTACTACTAGCGCAGCTTTGTGTTAAACATGCCACACCAGTTTAAAGGGTCTACCAAGAAAGAGCCACGTTTAGTTCGATTAAACAACGGCGAGAAATTTTTTGCAATTTTAACACATTATGCGGTTATCTTCGTAAATACGTGAACGTTTAAATCAATAATATTAACTGCCGAGTTTAACTTTTCAACAATAACTTAAAACGATGAAGAAAAGAAGACTTCAGTGGAATGAAAGATATTACCTATCATTTAGTCTGCCTATCCGCGCTGATTTTTTTAGGCAGACGAAGATTGGAATGACCTAGCTGTTGACAGCACCCGAAGCCCGACCTCATTGGCTGGACAGATAAGAACTAGGTCTGATCCCGGACTGCCAACACCCGGGTGGGTGATTCTCGAGACTGTTATTGTTTAAAGTGAATTAGGTAACTATAAAAAAAAATAAGTTTATGACCCCTCAAATGCAGGAGGAAATCTCACAAATAGCAGCGAATTGCTTCAACCAATTCATTTATTCATACCGATGCATTTAGGGGCCAATCTGATTTCCCTCTCCAGGGCTACATAAAATGTATAAATTATTTCATTAAATGAAATAATTCAGTAAAAACAATAAACGTCTCGAGAATTACCCACCCGGGTGTTGGCAGACCGGGGTCAAACCTAGGTCTTATCCGTCCAATACTGAGGTCGGGCTTCGGGTGCTGACAACAGCTAGGTCATTTCAATCTTGGTCTGCCTTACTAACAAAAATCAGCTCAGATGGCCAGACCAAATGATAGGTAACTATCAAACAATCGGGTGCTGTCAACAGCTAAATCAAAACCCATTCACTCTCACTCGTCCATAAATACATTGTCTCTTATTTACATACCATTCACCCAGTTAAGGTGGTGGAGTACTAGATATTCTTCCATAGATCCTTTCACACTACACATTCACACTAATCAATACATTCACTCTCAACACGCTAGGGGCATAAAAATATCATTAATCATGTTTTTTATTGCAATTTTAAGGGTAGAGGGCCAGATCGCGATGATTGAGTCTGGAGGTTGGGACGTCCTGCCATAGCCACCTTTTCGTTACCCCTCCAGACCTATGTGTCCCAGTACTCAACAGCCACCGTTTTGACGAGACGCTAAATAAAATAAAACAATCCTGTTTCCTCTTAAGTATCGGGACAAAGGACCCAGATACTCGCTGCCGTTCTTAAGCACAATTCTTATGCACTCTGTATATGGACTCAAAGAATTGCATCCTTCAGTTAGGCGGAACACATTGAGCAACATTTCTCTTCATGCTATACATATACGCGAAGTTTCTCCGCGCAAAAGTAAGTGTCGTAAATAACCTCGTTCTTAATTACGTGAGGATTACCCTCCTTCTATGAATCAAGTTCTCCGGTGGCCACTTATCGACAGTGCGTGCGAGAGCTTTTCTGCCGATCCGGCCCACCGTCGTCGCCACTTTCTTTTAATCCATGTTTTTTTATTGCATTTCTATGGGGTAGAGGGCCGGATCGCGATAATTGAGTCTGGAGGTTGGGACGTCGTAGCCTTAGCCACCTCGTCCGCCTTTTCGTTACCCCTCCAAGCCTATGTGTCCTAGTACGTGTATCCAACAACCGTTTTGACGAGACACTTTAGCTCGTGGTATCTCTCCAACAAGAGCTCAACGAGGAGGTCGACGGCGGATCTGTCACGGTCAGCAGTACCGCTCTGAGCGAGTTGGTGCAGACCAGGCAAACAGTGCCACTATCGTCTTCAATCTCCTCAAGGGCGTGCCAAATCGCGTACAATTCCTCCGCGTAAACACTACAGTGCGGTTAGTTCCCCTGATAGTTATTCTCTCTTCTACCACAATTACGTCTTTTAAACCGAATCCTATCTAAGCAACCTCCAACATCCAAGAACACCCTTTGAGCTTATCAAAGCAGTCTTGCTATCCACTGTTCATCAATAACAAAGAGCTACCGACTTCCACTCAAGTCAAATCTTAAGACTATGCCTAGACAGTAGATTGACTTAGAATCCATATATCCGATATTCAAGAGACGACTTAAACTCAACTAACTCCTCTATACAGGACATTATTGCGACCACATTACAGCTGTGGTGTTCCACCAAGCTATCCAATATCCAGCGAATTTAATACTTCTAATCGAAAGTCCTTAGACAAACTATCAAAGCTCCTTACTACGTCACTAAACTCACCACGAATAACTACCTCAACGTTCTTTTTGTCAACGAACTGATGCAAACCCTCTTCCACAAGTCCCACACCAAGCTCTCGATCCATCCGAACCCTACTTCTTAACTACTACTATCGACACTCTCTAAAATCAGCCACGTCGCCTTAAATGAGTTAAATCTCGAGATCTCTTCAAGCTTTAATTTCACACGCCAGCGTTGGCTGGTTTCTTTTAGGCTGAATATACCCCAAAATATGAATAAATCCTCAAGATAGCAACACTAAATCGACAAATTTACTTGACTTCTCATTTCTGTACCATTCCATATAGTTCTGTTCTGTAAACGGATTTGTTATCCTTATCATCATAGAATTCATGGCAATTGGTCCACGCTTCATGTGTCCTCTGGGTGCAGCGCTGGCCATAGTGTCATTGTGTGACAGAGAAAAAACAACATATGTTTGTAATACCTATTTTGACATGCTCAGGCTCCAAAAAAATCTTATTTCATGCTAATAAAATGAACCTTTAAAGTCTAAAATTAACTAGGAAAAAATAATTAGGGAGTGTTTTTTTTAAATTTGATATTTCGATTATTCAAGAAAAAATTGGGTATATACGCTAGAAGATTATGTGGAATTATAATATATAATTGAAAATAAGAACCTTTAAAGTCTAAAATTAACTAGGAAAAAATAATTAGGGAGTGTTTTTTTTAAATTTGATATTTCGATTATTCAAGAAAAAATTGGGTATATACGCTAGAAGATTATGTGGAATTATAATATATAATTGAAAATAAGAAAAAAATCAATAAAAGGGTACTGCGAGAGTCAAATTGTACTTAAAAAAGTAAAAAAAATGTACTTTTGTTTTATGCATACCGTATTCAGATTAAATAATTATTACTAAAAAATATAAAATAAATTTGTTTTTTTAGTGACCGTTTTTTAAAAATAATTTGGTGGAATCGTGAGGAGCGGTCAGGAATAAGGCAGTTTAGAAAACTACCTTTTTAATTTTTTTGCAGATGTGACAACCACAAAAAAACCAGTAATGTAACACCACAGGAATGGCACTACACTTTATGCCCGATGATGACCCGAACAAAGTCGAACGTCGGCAAAAAAAAAAAAAAAAATGGTTTTTCGAAACTACCTCATTCCTGACCGCTCCTCACGACTACAACAAATTAATATAAAATAAGTTTTTTCATCGGTTTTCGTTAATTTATGGGTTGGAATTGTAAAACTCTATTTTGTATGTTTTTTTACGTGAAAACAATCGTTCAACAGACTTTAAAGTTAAGTTCGGTTTTGTGAAGTGAATGAGTTGAAGTATTATAAGCTACCTTAATGTGAAATTTATCTTGCGGATGAACGGATCAACAGAGGCAGAAGTGAGGTTCCGATCCTCGTTTAAAAATCAACTAGATGCTAATTGATCGTATTTGCATTTCCACTTTGGTAATGAATGAATTTGTGAAGGAAGCTAAACAGTGGCTGGGGATAAAGCGCAGGATCGGCCTTGGGGATGCTCGGGGCTGTTTAACTGAGTCAGTAGTGTTGGGGTGGTCGAGGCGTGATGGGTCTCGTCCTGGGGTGGCGGCATCAATTGCCAACGGTTTTCGATGAGGAAATAAGTATATTTCAAAATCCAAAGTAGACCGGCGTGAAAAGAAACCATAATGTCGAGTCGGTGCGGACTCGAGTCGAGGCCGAGGGCCCTCACGGAGACGGACCTCGCCTCCCTCTGCTCGATCCTCGAAATTTCGACGATGCCGAGGATATCGAGGAACCAGAGGTCTTTGAGCAAATCCTCGATGCACCAAGTAGTGGTAAGACGGCAACAAGAATGGCCATTTACAATGTCGTTTTGATGAGTTTTAATGTTCAATTAGTACCGGTTCATCTATAGCAAAGGACTGTTTTTTTTATTGTTGGGGGGGAGGGTAAAACGAATTTGGGTTATTTTTCAATTGTAAAAATATCGAACATCCATTCAAATACCAGAAAAAGTGGGAACCAATAAGAATCTGGAGAAAAGGAACTTTTTAGATTAATTAGGTTCTCTTGCTACAAAATTTTACCTATTTTTAAAGAAAATTTCCCAATTAAGATCGAAATTGATTTCTATTTTGAATGATATTATGTATTGCGTAAAATCTTTATTCATTTTGGGGATGAAGGGTGATAAAAATTAAACACAATTGTTCAAGCGTTTGAAAAAAAAATTAAACAAAAAACAACTGAGAATAAAAAAAACTTAACCAATAACGCTTGACACGAACGAGATTTTTACAATTCGGATTACATATAATAAAAATAAATAAATAAAAACAGACCTCTGCCTATGGTTTTTGTACTTATTACAAGTCGCTTCATTCTAAACAAATATTAATTGAACATTTCAAATATGAACTCACACGATTTTTTATATCGCCATATTACTAAGGAAAAAGTTTAATTTATTGTACCGTTCAAATGAAAAACAATATAAAAGAACGGATTTATTGTTATTTAAATAACATGTTTCTACCTCTCAATTTTCAATAACTCTCTCTTCGTTATCTTCTAATTTCTATTCTTGTTTATCTGGTCTGTATAGTTTTCGATGTTT